TTCTTGATGATGACAGTGATGGTTCCATGAGGACACGCATCAGCGGCATCAGCAGCGTCAGCGGCGTCAGCGGCGTCAGCGGCGTCAGCTGCACCAGTGGTGGCAGCGGCATCAGCGGGAGCACCGCGGCATTTCGACCACAGATCCGTCGGTCCGGTTTTCCCCGATGCGTGGACGCGCGGAGGCGTGGACCATTTCCTTAGGGCCGTTTTTTCTCCCAGTGTACCGTGGGGGCCCATGCCAAGAAACACTCTGCTTGCCTCCAGGATGCTCTGGGTTTCTTGTGTTTTCGATGGTTATGCAGGAGCGCGCGACGTTCCCACACCAAAGATCGATGGAAGTCCTGGGTCTCAGGGTTGGGTTTCTTGTGGAAGGTTTCTTGTAGTCGAGCCCGTACTGTAGGGCAAGTTTTTCTCCCCGAGTAGTTTTTTGTTCGACGACGTATGCGTGACCCGGGCCTGGCGGGGAAGGCATACGCACCAATCCTGGACACAGTAACGACCTGGCCAGGATCAGCCCAGACATTCGGCGCTCCACTTTGTTCGATGCATGGGCTTCGCGTGCTGCGGGTGCGATACACAGGGGAGGCAGCGAGGGCTGCAGAAAGGAGCCCTTCAGGGCCCCAGAGGAGGCTTTTAGGGCCCCAGAAGTGCGCATTCATTTTTCGAAGAAGAGGAAACGACATCCACATAAACTATTGGCGCTCCTCGCGGAGTTCTTGGATCCGCGCTGGTCTCCCCTGGCAGCGCCTCCGGCGGCGCCCCTGGCGCGCTCATGCGCAGACAACATCCCTACTGGGCCGGCGTTTCGCCCCCGAGTCGTTCTGTCGACGTTTCTGGGGGCCCGTGCCCCCCGGAGCGCCAAGTTTCGCCAGAAGCCAGCCGCTCCAATTTTTCCCAACTATCCTGTGGTGTTGGGTCCTCGTTTTGAATAGATGGTGCGCCGCGTTCCCGCCTCCTCCTTCCTCCTCTCCTCCTCCTCCTCCCCCTCCTCCTCCCTCCTCCCCCTCTTCCCTGCGTTTCACCCACCCAGTACAGCGCTTCGTAGCCCCATAGGAGCTCCGCCGAAGGCCCCAGTGCTGCCGCCCGCATGCGTCACCCACACCCAATGCGGCACACCCCTCACACGTTTCGTGGCCCCATAGGAGCTCCGCCGAAGGCCTCAGTGCTGCCGCCCGCATGCGTCACGCACACCCAATTCGGCACACCCCTCACACGTTTCGTGGCCCCATAGGGAGCCCCGCCGAAGGCCCCAGTGCTGCCGCCCGCATGCGTCCCGCACACCCAATTCGGCACACCCCTCCCACGTTTCGTGGCCCCATAGGGAGCCCCACCGAAGGCCCCAGTGCTGCCGCCCGCATGCGTCCCGCACACCCAATTCGGCACACCCCTCACACGTTTCGTGGCCCCCCTTGGAGCTACGCGAGGGCCCAGTGTTTTGCGCCGCCTGCGTTCACCACACCCCCAATTCGGCACACCCCTCACAAGGTTCGTGGCCCCATAGGGAGCTCCGCGATAGGCCAGTGCTGCCGTCCGCATGCGTCACGCACACCCAATTGGGCACACCCGTTTCGTGGCCCCACAGAGAGCTCCGCCGAAGGCCCCAGTGCTGCCGCCCGCATGCGTCACCCACACACTATTCGGCACACCCCTCACACGTTTCGTGGCCCCATAGGAGCTCCGCCGAAGGCCCCAGTGCTGCCGCCCGCATGCGTCACCCACACCCAATTCGGCACACCCCTCATACGTTTCGTGGCCCCATAGGAGTTCCGCCGAAGGCCCCAGTGCTGCCGCCCGCATGCGTCACCCACACCCAATTCGGCACACCCCTCACACGTTTGTGGCCCCATAGGAGCTCGCTGAAAGTCCCAGTGGCCGCCCGCAGCACCACCCACAACCCAATTCGGCCACACCCCTCACACGTTTCGTGGCCCCATAGGGAGCTCCACCGAAGGCCCCAGTGCTGCCGCCCGCATGCGTCACGCACACCCAATTCGGCACACCCCTCACACGTTTCGTGGCCCCATAGGGGGCTCCGCCGAAGGCCCCAGTGCTGCCGCCCGCATGCGTCACGCACACCCACTTCGGCACACCCCGCACACGTTTCGTGGCCCCATAGGAAGCTCCGCCGAAGGCCCCAGTGCTGCCGCCCGCATGCGTCACGCACACCCAATTCGGTACACCCCTCACACGTTTCGTGGCCCCATCGGAGCTCCGCTGAAGGCCCCAGTGCTGCCGCCCGCATGCGTCGCCCACACACAATTCGGCACACCCCTCGCACGTTTCGTGGCCCCAGTGGAGCTCCGCCGAAGGCCCCAGTGCTGCCGCCCGCATGCTCAGCACACCCAATTCGGACAACCTCTCGCTCTGTTTCGTGCCCAATAGGGAGCCCGCCGAAGGCCCCAGTGCTGCCGCCCGCATGCGTCCCGCCCGCCATTTCCGGAACCCTTACACGTTCGTGGTCCCTAGGGAACTCTACCGAATGCCCCAGTGCTGCCGCCCGATGCGTCCACGCACACCCAATTGGGCACACCCCTCACCGTTTCGTGGCCCCATTGGGAGCTCGGCCAAAAGGCCCAGTGTGCCGCCGCATGCGTTTTTTCACGACACATCCAATTTCGGCACACCATCACCACGCTTCGTGGGCAACATAGGAGCCCAGCGAAGGCCTCAGTGCTGCCGCCCGCATGCGTCCCGCACATTCATTTCGGCACACCCCTCACACGTTTCGTGGCCCCATAGGGAGCTCCACCGAAGGCCCCAGAGTGCTGCCGTCCGCATGCGTCCCGCACACCAATTTCGGCACACCCCTCACGCGTTTCGTGGCCCCATAGGGAATGCGTCCCGCACACCCATTTCGGCATACCCTTCACACGTTTCGTGGCCCCATAAGGGGGCTCCACCGAAGGCCCCAGTGGGTGTGCCCGCATGCGTCCCGCACATCCATTTCTGCACACCCCTCATGCGTTTCGTGACCCCTCACACGTTTCGTGGTCCCACAGGGAGCTCCACCGAAGGCCCCAATGGGTGTGCCCGCATGCGTCCCGCACACCCATTTCGGCACACCCCTCGCACGTTTCGTGGCCCCGTAGAGGGGCTTCACCGAAGGTCCCAGTGCTGCCGCCCGCATGCGTCCCGCACACCCATTTCGGCATACACTTCACACGTTTCGTGGCCCCATAGGGAGCTCCGCCGAAGGCCCCAGTGGGTGTGCCCGCATGCGTCCCGCACACTCATGTCGGCACACCCCTCACGCGTTTCGTGACCCCTCGCACGTTTTGTGGTCCCATAGGGAGCTCCACCGAAGGCCCCAGTGGGTGTGCCAGCATGCGTCCCGCAAACCCATTTCGGCACACCCCTCGTACGTTTCGTGGCCCCGTAGGGGGCTCCACCGAAGAAGATATTCACAATTGCGGTACTCACAATTGCATATGGTTGGGTCCTTCGCCAGGATAATTTGGCGGAGCCTCGGATCTTTGGGTTCCCGCTCGGTCGTTCAAAGTAGGTTGGCAGGCGGTTTTTTCTCCCCCAATCCCCGGGTTCCGCCCGACAAGTTTGGCCGCTCAGAAGAAAGGGGAAACCATGGGATACACCCCAGGGGGGCTATTCGGACGCTCCGACCGACGGGTACGGCAACATCAGCGGCAATACACGCCCCTGGGAATGCAACGCAACTTGTGCAGGTCGTGTCGAAGGATAGTCCGGGGGACTTTCCCGGGGGGTGTTATTCATCTCAGGTCCGTTTCTGACTGCCCCGGGGCCCGAAAACCGCCCACCTGGGGCCAAGAGCAACGCCAATCGACGCCGAAGAGGACAGACGAATCGTCGAGTTGTGTTGCATTTCTTTTCGAGGGCAGTGCCTGGTCGGCGTCACCCCACCGTATGAATACTATATTTGCGTCGCCCCTCCAGGGGCGACGCGCGCGCGCCCGTAAATCTTATACAGCCGGGGCCCTGAAGAAGGAACCCTTTTCGTTGGGGAGGGGCTCCGCGTTCCTTAAGCGTTTCGTAGTTTGCCTCAGGTTTTCCTTCGGTTTTCGATGGGAAAACGAAGTTTAACTTATGGGAAATAGGGGCCTCGTTCCTTATGTAGGGTTCCTTAGGTCAACGCTCCCACTGTATGAATACTACGTTTGCGTCGCCCCTCCAGGGGAGGCGCGCGCGCGCGCGCCCGTAGATCCTACAGTGGAGGCTCCGTGGCGGGCGCTTTTGTCTGGCCGTACCGCTCGGCAAACGATCTATATTTCAAGATGTCTGCACTGTATGTCCGGGTCGGACGCACGCCTCCGACGAGGATACATACAGTCGAGGTCGATTAGTAGGTCGACCCTGCCAATCAAGGGTACCCTTGTGCCCTGTGTGTCGGGACCCGTGCCTCCTACATTCCTATGGCAATGTGGCCCTCGGAAGGGTCTTGCGTCCTATCGCGTGTCCTATCCAATCAATCCCGACTGTATTGCAAGTATCGTTTCACCGACCTTTATCCCCATCTACATCCCGATGCAGACCGCCACCATCTCAGCACCCCAGTTGGAGATGCACCCCTCGAGACCCGAAGGGAGCGGCCTCTTGTGCCCATCCGGGAAGGCACATCGGCCAAGGGGCCGCGGCCGCGCCCAAGGGGATGGGGGTCGGTTCAGTTCGGTGGCGAGCGAGGGAGGGAAGTGGGAAGGAGACGGTCTGCTCAGAGGGTTCGGGCGCCTCCCAGACTTCTGAGAGGCTTTCGAAGCCCTCCCGACGACGCGGACGGCCTCGCAGCTGGCGCGAGGGCCTCTGAGAAGTCCCGCCGCCCTCTGAGAGGGCCTTCTCCTTCCCACTGCCCCCCTCCTCGCTCGCCGCCGATCGGCGCTCGACTAGTACGCCCCTGTGCGTCCCAGGCGACGACGACGTCGACGACGACGACGACGACGACGACGACGACGAAGCGTAGGATGCATCGGCGGCGCGCGGAGCTCCGCGCCGGCCCCTCGCCGGGCGGGCGCGGCGGCGCGCCCCCCCCCAGGAAGCCCAAGGGGTGCGAGAACGGCGCGGACCGGGCGGCCTCCTCCTCCCTGCTCTCGGGAGCCTTGAGACGGGGGTCAATGCAGACGGGGGTCAGCCAGGGCGCCAGATCCTGCAGGATCCTGCGAAGACCCCCTCTGGCTGACCCGGGTTAGGGAGCCGCTCGTGGCCGCGAGGCGGCCGCGCGTATTGGCTGACCCGGCTTTGCGAGGACCTGCGTTGCAGTTTTTTTTTTCCTGCATTGCAGTTTTTGGTTTCTTGCTGACCCGGGTCTGGATTGACCCGGGTCAGAAGATCCCCGATGCTCCTTGGCACCGTTGGGGCGTGTGCACTTTTTCCTTCGGCGAGGGCCATCGAGGAGCATCCTGGACCATTTGGCGAAAAAGCCACGCACGGAGCCGAAAAAGAACACAGGGGATGGACGTCCGAGCGATGGTCGGTGCTCGGTGCCCGAAGGGTGCCCCTGGCGCAAGGTGCCCCCGGCTTTTTTGGAGTCGGGCGTGTCCCTCTGCAGGGGGAGTATTCAAAAGTAGTTCACAAATGGTCTGGGGGCGATTCTTGGGTTGTTTTTGTTTTGCATGTTTTTTGGACTATTTGGAATTTTCGTCCAAAATCTGCGTGTAGGGGGACATGCCCGACCTAACCCCAGCTTGTCGCTCTATTCTGGAGCCCCTGGGGCCCTCTGGGCCTCTTCAAGGGTGCTCTGGAGGCCGTGAGGGCCTCCTTGGAGATTCTGGGGGAACCTTGAGTCAGGGGCACTTCCAGCAGCACCCGACCCTGCTGCTCCATCTCCCTCCAGCTCCCTCCATCTCCTCCTCCTCCTCCTCCTCAGACGAGGAAGAATGGTGCCGATCTGCCTCTACCTTTGCCGCGTTTGTGCCTTCTTGAACCTCCTGGGATGCCCGTCGCCACCGCTGAATTCGCCTCGAAAGTTGTGTCAGAACGCACTCCGGGAGAGGTCTGCGGAGCAGTTGTATCGGCACCGTTTGGTTTCCCCAGCACGTCCCTCCATCTCTTTTTCTCTCCCCCCACCTCACTCCCTCTCTTCCTCTCCTCCTCACTCCTCTCGAAGGAGGAAGCATAATTTCCTGGAAATCCGCCCGGATTCCTTTAGTCAGCGTCGGTGCGCCCCTGGCGCGCTGAGAAGGGGGGTCCAGCCGATCCAAGAACCCGCGCGGACCTCTGAGAAATTGTGTGTGTGCCCTTTGTTGTACATCTATTCTCGCCTCTCACTTCTCTTGCTTGTCCCCCCTCGCCTTCCCCCCCCCGCGCCCCATCCCCATCGCCCATCCCCGCAGGGCGCCCCATCCATTTCCTCCTGCCCCCCCTGCTCTGCCGCCCATTCCCTGGCCTGGACGAAGGAAAAACTGCATAAACGTAAACTTTTGGCGCTCCGCGCGGATTTGTTGCATCTGCGCTGGACCCCTCTCCCTGGCGCGCGGAGCGCGCGGGGGCGGCGCCAGAGGCGCCGCCGGAGGGGGGGCTCCAGCGCAGATCCAAGAATCCGCGCGGAGCGCCAATAGTTCCAAGGTATGGCATTTTTTTTGTTTTCGATGCCCCCACGTCATGCCAAAAAAAAAAAAAAACTTTGCTTTTTTGCCCCCTTTTCCCCACCCCCAAACCACCCCCTTCCCCCTGCCATCCTCCTGCAGTGCGTATGCGCACTAGATGAAAACAAGGCCCGCCAGCGGGAGTCCTCTGATGCCCTCAGGGGCCCACAGGAGAAGCTCTGAGGGCGCCTTGGAAATTCGGAGGTCGACGAACACCCCAAGATTTCCCGTACACGCTGGTCGTTGAAAGTCTGAATTTCTAGGCACCCAGATCCCAATCTACCTCAGGCGCATTCCTACTTCCAGAGGCGAACTGCTTTTGCTGGGTTGTGTTCTTCTCCAGGAGGGCCTGAACCCAATCTGCCTTATGCGCCCTCCCTTATCCGCTCATCTGCTCTCACCTGCTTCTTCCGACCGACGTGCACCTGAGCGATGCAACAGAAACGGGGCCGTACGCGCCGACATTGACGCGTAAGTTGCCAGCGCAAGGTATCGCGCAAGCACCCTCGTCTCCAGTGTGGCGTGCCTCGCTGGCGGCCCGCGTAAGCCGCGGCGTAAGGCCCGTTTATTTGCGTCGCCCATCTGTTGTCCGTTGCCCTCCCATCCCCCTCTCGCCCTCGCGCTCTCCTGCTCGCCGGCTCTCCCCTCCGCTCCCCCTCCGCTTTTCCCAACCGTCCCGTGGTGTTGGGTCCTCGCTTTGAAGAGACAGCGCCCCGCGTCTCCTCCCCCTTCCTCTCCTCTCCTCCTCCCCCTCCTCCCTCTTCTCATCCGCCTCGTCATCGTCATCGTCATCATCATCGCCATCGTCATGATCCACACTATCATGATCATCACCATCGCCATCGTCAGCGCCGCGCCCCTCGCACGGCTCGTGGTACCACAAGGGAGCTCCACCGAAGGCACCAGTGGCAGGGTCCGTATGCGGGGACCGCCACCCATTTCGGCACACCCCTCACACGATTCGTGGCCCCACAGGGAGCTCCACCGAAGGCTCCAGTGGCGGGGTCCGCATGCGTCAACTCCACCCATGTTGCCGCACCCCTCACACGCTTCGTCCACCGAAGGCCCCAGTGGCGGTGTCCACACGCGTCCGCGCCACCTATTTCGGCGCACCCCTCACACGTCCCGTGGCCCCATCGGGAGCTTCACCGAAACCGGTACCCACAGTGCGGTACTCGCAACTGCCTGTGGTTGGGTCCTTCGTCTGGCTATCTCTGTTCGGGCAGTGCCCCGCGTGAGGCCACCCGTTCCTCTTGTAACGCGAGGCTCCAGGATCGAAGCAAGCTCGAGGAGGTTTTTGCACGTTGATGTGTTCTTCAGTGGCCGTCGGCCAATCCCGCTGCCGTGCCTGGGTTTGGGTATGAAGCCTATTGGATGTGCGCTGGGATCTCGTGGGAGGCCTGTCGGGAGCCTCTGGGGGGCGGCGGTTTGGAGGCCTCTCGGGGGCCGTTTTGGGGTCTCTTGGGGTCCTCTTGGGGTCCTCTTGGGGGCCTCTTGGGGGCCTCTTGGGGGTCTCTCGGGGCCTCCTGGGTGCCTCTTGGGGCGGCCTCCTGTGGGCCTCTTTGGCGGAAGGCTCGGATTTTCGGTTCGTGTTCCTTCTCTTGGACCCCTTTTGGGGCTGTCTTGGGCCCCCTTAGGCCTTCTTGGGCGCCTCGTAGGCTGTCTTGGGGCGCTCTTAGGCCGTCATGGGGCCCTTTTGCATGCCTCTTTGGCTGTTTTGGTCTTGGAGGCCTCTTGGGCCGTCTTGGAGCGTCGGAAAGCCGAAAAGACGAGAACGCCATAATCCTTCAAACAACTCGGGCAACTCAATGATTTTCTTCTCTTGCGGCCCTCTTGGGAGGCCCCTCGGAGGCCTCTCGGGGCGTCTTGGGCGTCATGGAGCGATCTTTCGGCGACTCGGGGCCCTCTTGGGCCGTCCTGGCGGCCTCTCGGAGCCCTCTTTGGGCCCGTCGTGGGGCTCTCTTGGGCCAAACGAGTTCACGCGGGGAGGCGCGGTGCGGCCAGGGGGAACCGCGCCCCGCCCCGCCAGGGGCGCGCTGGGCCCTGGGCGGCCGCTAATTCACCGTGGGGGGCGCCTGGGGTGCCCTGGGAGGGCCCTGGGAGGGCCCTGGGAACTCTGGGTCCCTGGCGCGCCCAGGGGCGCCCTGGGCCCTGGGCGGCTGCTAATTCACCGTGGCGGGCGCCTGGGGTGCCCTGGAATTTGGGCTCCGTCTGAGGCTGGAGGCCTGCTCCAGGATGGCCCGCACCAGGACGCCTAGCGTTAATTCGGGCCTGTCCCTCGACGGGGGGAATGTTCAAACGGGGTCGAAGCATATTCTGGGGACGATTTGTTTGACCATGGCTTGTGTCTGTTTGAGCATGTTTTGACTATGTTCTTCTTTGTCGTCAAGAATCCGCCTGTAGGAGGACATGCCCGACCTTCGCCTGGCTCCAAGCTGAGCTCAGAAGGGCGCCAGGAAGCTCTGGTGATCCCCGAGATCGCCCTTGGTGCGCCTCGACAGGACAGCCAGCGCCAGCGCCACCGGCAGCACACTGCCTGTGCGCTCGAGGGGCGCTCGCCCCTGTCGGGCGTGTCCTTCGACGGGAGGAATATTCAGGAATACTCGAAGAATAGTGCGGGGACGATGTTTCCATTATTTGTCCATGCTTTGGGCTCTGTTTTGACTATTTTCCACTGTTCCTCCGAAGTCCCCCTGTAGGAGGACATGCCCGACCTAATCCCACCTCTTCTGCCCAGGGTGCGCAGAGGAGCGCGAGCGGATGGGGACTCTTACCATCGGGGATGGCGAGCGAAGCACACACCCATACCCATAGGGTGGACGGATTGGTCTATGGGTGCGTGTTGTCGGAATGGGAGTCCCCGCTCGAACGGGAGGTTCCCCCGGGGTCTGACAACCCGCCCCCTTTCTCGTAGCCGGTCTTCCTTCCTCCGACCCCCCCATGGGTATGTGTGTGTGTGTCTGTGTGTGGAGGGGGGCGGTGGGGGTGTTGTTCGTTTGTCAGGGGGCCCAGCAGGAACCACCATGAGCCATGCAGAAGTGCCAAGGAGCCTCGTCACAAGTCTTGTGCAGGAGACCCGAACGTTCCGGGGGAAACCCTTATTGGGGTATGCCAGAGCGTCCCTTTCTAGTTGTGGCCTGCCAGCTTTTTTCTCTACACGTTCAGAGCATGATCAGGGCTGGAGCAACGCAGTTCCAGGTTGGAGACCATCCGTTGGCTGCTGGTTGGAAGCGAGCGTCTGCTCTGCCGTTTGCAGGGCGAGCTGGTTGGAGGGAGTCCCCTTCCGGTGGCAAATGTCCGCTGTCATTGCAGAAAGTCCTGGCGATTCTCCCAGCCTTTCCCCTTCTTGCACCGTGCCGCGCTGGCGCCTTCGAAGCGTCGTCGACTCTTGGCCTAGGTCTGGTACGGTGCATAGTTCCTCGGCCCCTGAGGGCCACTACCACCAGCTGGGGGGGCTGGCCGCTCCCCCCGCCCAGCTGGCGGCACCCCGTTCCAGGCGCGCTCCCAGAGAGCGCCCAGGGCGGAGTGCCGCCCGCTCGGCGGGGGGGGGGCGCCGTGGGGAGCGGAGCTCTGTGGAGTTCTGGCGAAGGTGGCGGTGGCTCTCTTTGTTGCCACGACCTGTGCGCCGCACCGCTCTGGAGCGGGGCCCGAAGGGAGTCCAAACTCCTCCCCGTCGCCGTCGCCGTCGCCGTCGTCGTCGTACTCATCGTGCTGCCCGCCGCTGTCTGCCCGCTTGCCCCCGTCTTCGCGCCCCAGCTGCCCGGATCCCCCCGCGCGCGGGATGCCCCCCGGGGGGGGGGGCGGGGGAGCCCGTCCTCGGCGGCGAGCGAGGGGGGATACGAGAAGGAGAAGGCCTTCTCAGAAGGCGGTGGGACTGCTCTGAAGCCCTCGCGCCTTCTGAGAAGTGTCTTGTGCGTCACCGGGGAAGGCTTAGGAAATTGTTGACGCTTCGCGTATCCCCACCAGCCCATCCAGAAACGATGCTCAGGGGAGTTAAGGTGATCAGGGAAGTCGGGGAGCATGCAGAATAACAAAGGGCGGGGGAAGCTGTCACAGACCCCGAGAGGGGGAGGATGGAAGAGGAGTCGTCGTCGTCGTCGTCGTCGGAGGAGGAGGAGGAGGGGGAAGAGGAGGAGGAGGAGGAGGAGGAGGAGAACGGAGAAGGAGGAAGAATCGGAGGAGGAGGAGGAGGAGGGGAAGGAGCTTCTTGGGGGTCTTTTGAGGGCCTCTTGGAGGGCTTTTTGGGCGCCTTGGGGCATCTTGGGCGCCTCTTGGGACCCTCTTGAGGCGCTCTGGGGAGCCTTCGGGGCGCTTTTGGGGCCATCTTGGAGGGAGTCGATCAAACAAGAGGGGGGGTTTAATTAGCGTCCCCCCTCGGAAGCCCCTAAAATCGCCTCTTGGACCCCTCTTGGAACGCTCTTGGAGTGCTCTTGGGCGCTCTTGGGGCCGTCTTGGGGCTCTTTTGGGGCTCTCTTGGGGCCCTCTTGGGCCATCTTGGAGCCATCTCCAGGCCTCGGATGGCCATCGGAAGCGAAAAGGCGAGAAAGCAAAAATCATTGATTTTCCTTAGGTTTTGGGACGATTTTGGCCTCTTCGGGGCCTCCTTGGGGAGCTGTTTGGCCACTTGGAGTTATCTTGGGGCCGTCTTTGGGCTTCTTGGAACCATCTTAGGAGCCATCGTGAGCGATCTTGCGCTATCTTGAGCCATCTTGGAGCTCATCTTGGGTTCTCTGAGGCGCTCTTGGAGCCGTCTTGGGCCATCTTGGACGCTCTAACTACCCGCGGCCCCCCCCGTCCAGGTCCAGGGGAGGGGGTAGGGGGAGGGGTAAACCCCTCCCCAAGGGGGAAGAGGGAGGGGTGGAAGAGGATCTGCTCTAGACCACCTACGCCCAGAGGGCTGGTGGGACTCGTCCTTCCGAGAAGGCCGTCTCCTTCTCACTTCCTCCCCTCGCTCGCCGCCGGCGTCCGCCGCCGCCCGCAGGAGTGCCGACACTGCCACCTCTGCCCCGAGGGGGAGATCCAGGCGCTCTCTCGGGAGGGGAAGGTCGGGCAGGCGAGGGCGGGGGCGTGGGGTGGGGGGGGGCTTCGGGAGGGGAGGGGCAGGAGGAGAGCGGGATGTGGATCAGGCGATCGCGAACATGGATTAAGGGAAGGCGTGGATTGGCGACGGGTCCCGTCTCCACGGGAAAGCGCGGATTTCCGCGGCCGAGCGAGGCGGCGCCGGCCGCATTTTGGGGAGGGCACCTCCTCCGCCCCATTGATTTGGCGACCGCGCGCCAAAGTCCAAAGTCCATGGATCGCTAATCCATGTTTGCGCGCCCCCGAGTGGAGGAAGCGGCGCGGGGCAGGAGGGGGGGAGGGGGCGGAGGAAGGACTAAGGAACGGCAAAGGAGCCCGGTGCGGAGGGGGCGGGTCTCGGGAGGACGGCGAAAGGGGGGGACGGCAGAGGAGAGGGTGACGGGGGAGGGGGGGGGCCGCAGGAGCAGGGGGGGCCTAAGACCGGGGGCCGGGGGAAGAGGGCTGGAAGGGGGGATCGGGGGCAACGACAGGGGGGGATAGGCATAGGGGGGATGCATCGACCCCCAATCGCTCATTGCGTCGACCCCCAATCGCTCATTGATCGACCCCGAATCGCTCATTGATTCACTGTCGGAGGCCTATCGCCGATCTATCGGCGATGTATCGCCGATTCCAGGTCGATGCATCCCCCCCTATGCCAGTCCCCCCCTATCGTTGCCCCTCAGAAGAGAAAGGAAATGGGCGACCTCGGGACATTGGGAGGGGCGGTGAGAAGGGGGAGCGGTGGTGAGGGTGGAATACTGAGCGAGGGAGGATGCGACCTGGGGAGAGTCTGATTCGCGTCGCGGTACGGCTCACTGGCAGGAGGCGGAAAAGGGGGAGGAGGCGGGAGCCGGAGGGATGAGGCGGGGGAGGTTGGGTGGAGGAGATGACGGGGAGGGGCGGACAGGGAGAAGGTGAAAGAGGAGGCTGGGAATATGGATGTGGTCGGCAGAGTACGAGGATAATTACTTTTGACAGGAGGAGACGGAAGCGCAGGCGCAGGAGGAGGAGGAGGACAAAGGAAGGAGGGCGGGTTGCCGCGGTGTCGCGCAGGGAAGCGGTTCGGAGCCGTGGGGTCCTTTTTCTTGATCGAGGCGATGGCATTGGATTTGGCATCGCTCGGACGTGTTTCGTCCCAGGGAGGACAGCGCCGGAAGCCCTGCACCCTCTGGGGAGCTTTGTGGATCACCTCGAGAAGGAACCACGCACGAAGCAAAACAATGCACAGGGAATGGACGTCCGAGCGATGGCAAGTAGAGTGGGCTCTCGGTGACTTGTTCGCGACACGCTTGCTGTGAGCCCTATTATCCTGACATTGGTATCAACACTAATGTATTTCACTGGCCTTGAGGATGTCCGCCTGTCCCAGCGCACCTGATCCAACAAAAACGACGAGCACTTCGCAAGGGGAGGAGGTGAAGAAGGTGACTGGGATGAACGCGAAAGAGAAGGACAATGATGTGGAGATTATTTGGATTGCGCAGCCGCTCAGGGGGACCGGCGCATGTCAGAGCAATACAACCAATGATGCAGAGTGAATGTTTAGCATATGAGTGGAAGTCACCTCCAGCGGGGCGCGGGGTAGCGAGGAGGCGCTGTGCGATTCTGGGCAGCTCATATCGCAGTATAGACGTGTATAGCCATAAGCTAAGCGCAGCATAGGAGTACAGTGGGGGCTAATGCCAAGAAGCACCCTGCTTGCCTCCAGGGTGCACTGGGTTTCTTGGGTTTCAATGGTTCTGCTATGGAGAGCGTGATGTTCCCACACCGAGAGTCCGTGGACGTCCTGGTGTCTCAGGACTGGGTTTCTTATGGAAGGTTTCTTGTGGTCGGGCCCCTACTGTACCTTTACTGCTACCCATGCCTGGATTTCGCCTTGTTGGGGCCTCCTGGGAGGCCCTCGTCACCATCGCTGCGTTTGCCTCGAACTTCTGGGCAGAACCGCACCCCGGTAGAGGCCTGGGGAGTAGCAGTATCAGTAATTCGTGGTTTTCCCACCACTTCTTGCCATCTCCACGAACGAGGATATATCCGTTCCAGAGCGTTCCGGAACGCTCTTAGAGCGTTCCCTAACGCTCTGAGAAGGCCACGGCTCTTAATGCATCTTCACGAGCCGCCGGATCTCAGATATCGTTTCGATGTATCATCGTCCGATGTTATCATTTTCTCGGTTCCGTCTTAGGCAACGTCGCATTGTTCTTGAGCGATTGCAGGCATTTATATAATAACAACAATGATGTTAAACATATGTCTCTCTCTATATATATATGGTCATGACGAACACAGGAGGAGGAGGTGCAGGAGGAAGAGGATGAGGAGGAGAAGGGTCGAGGATCGTGGAGGAGGATCGAGGATCGAGGAGGAGGATCGCGGTCCGGAGCGACGACTGCGGGCATGATTGCATGGTCCACAGGCGGGGCCTCAGGGGCCCGCTTTGGAGCTCGAAGGGCGCAGGCCTGCGAGCTGGAGGCGTGCTGGCGGCATGCTGCCGTAGACGCTCGTGCATGGGCGGCCTCGAGGAGTATCGAGGAGGAGGATCGAGGATCGCGGAGGAGCATCGAGGAGGAGGATCGAGGCGGAGGCGGAGGAGGAGGAGGAGGAGGAGGAGGAGGAGGAGGATCGAGGAGGAGGATCGAGGATCGAGGAGGAGCATCGAGGAGGAGCATCGAGGCGGAGGCGGAGGAGGAGGAGGAGGAGGAGGAGGATCGAGGAGGAGGATCGAGGAGGAGGAGGAGGAGGTTCGAGGAGGAGGATAATCTTTTGGTAACCGCTTGCGGGGTCCCGCGTACTAGGACGGCGGCTGAGGAGGAGGAGGAGGAAGAGAAGAGAGGAGGAGGAGGAAGGAGGAGGAGGAGGAGGAGGAGGAGGAGGAGGAGGAGGAGGAGGGAGGAGGAGGAGGAGGGGAGCAGAGCAGGAGGAGGAGGAGGAGGAGGAGGAGGAGGAGGATCGAGGAGGTGGCGAGGATCGAGGATCGATGAGGACGAGGCGGAGGAGGAGGAGGAAGAGGAGGAGGAGGAGGAGGAGGAGGAGCAAGGCAGCGGGAGATGACGGAGAAGGACAGCACGCCGCGGACGTGGACTTGCCTACCGATCGCGCGCACGCGCACAGGCCCGCCGCAAGATGAAGCTCACGATGCTGAGGCAGCAGAAGGGCGGCCCAGACGTCGGCGAGGCCTCCCGCAGTCAGCGCCAGCTTCCGGAGGAGCATCGAGGAGGAGGAGGAGGCGGAGGAGGAGGAGGCGAAAGAGGAGGAGGGTCGAGGATGAAGGATCGAGGATCGAGGAGGAGAAGGAGAAGGAGGAGGAAGAGGAGCACTGGTTGGATGAGGAGGAGGGGGAGGACCGCTGATGGAGAATCGAGTTCTACGGCAATTTACTAGCCAGTGTTGCTCCTCGCAGGCTTCAGAAGCTTCTAGAGGCTCCCAGGGAATCCGTGGAGCTCTCGAGACTTTTGTTGCTTGTTTTCTGCCGATCGTGGTTGTCTTTCTTGTTCTCTTCTGCGCAGTCTTACTCCTCCAGTCTTACTGCTCCCGCTTGGATGTCCCGCCATCGTATGCGTCACAGCTTTCGAGCGCAACTGTTCTACTACACAAGATTGGCATGACATCTGCGTCGGACTGGCTCTGCAAAGGGCAACGTGGAACGTTGGGAGTGTTATGTCCTCTCCAATTGGGCCGCCATTGATGAGGGCTTCTCTACCCCGCCACTGGTTGCTACATGCGACGCGGTGGCCGACCCACAGTCGACTCGCACAAGCATGCCAGATGCCATCCAGTTTACGGGCCCATGTGCGCGACTCTGCGAGCGAGCAGCGGAGGAGCGTGCGTGGAATCATGTTCGTGTGCAGTACTTGAACTGAATAGTTTCCGGCGAGCACGAGACGCGCTGATCTGCCCGCCCACTCGCGTGCACGCCCGCGCGAGCCGACCGCAGCGTACGAATCCGATCCGATCGGATCTTGCTCCTCCAGCCTCCTCCATCCTCATCGCTGCTCCGCCATCCTCCCCCTCTCCCCCGTCATCCTCCCTCCCTCCGCCGCCCCTTCGATCATCCAGCTTCTGGCCTCCCGTTGTTGGCAGCGCACGGTCAATGCCAGCGACGTCGACGAGTTTGAGGTCTGCTGGACACCGCCAAGATGCAGCCCAAACTGCGCAGCATCACCAGAGCAAGCAGGGATTGCTGGGCTGCCGTACCAGGCCGACCACTGCTGCGCAGATCGCGCTGAGGCTTTGGTTATCGCTCGTGCAGGGCCGCTCGACCATTGACCCACGGCGTTGGCCCCGACGCTGCCAGGCCCGGGCTATGCCGCTGCGGACGCGGCCGAGGGCGAGACTCCTGGGGCGCAGGCCTGACCATCAGAGGAGGAACTTGGCATCGCTCGGAAGTGTGCACTGTTAGCGGCGGGGACCATCCAGGAGCATCCTGGATCCTCTCGCTCGCGAAACAACACGCACGAATCCGAAGCATGCGCTGAGACTGGACGTCCGAGCGATGGCAAGGGAACAGGTGCGAGGAGGACGTCGACTGCAGAATCGACTTGCCCCTCAAGTGTTTATCTCGTCTTTTCTCGTCTAGAATGTATGTGCGAGAATGATGGCGCCACGTGTCCTACGTGCGCCGCGTAGTCTCTGGCCTGGAGTCGTTGGTGGCTTAGGGCAATTCCTGGGGCGCAGGCCTGGTCATCAGAGGAGGAACAGGTACTGATACCGCTGCCCTGGCCTCGTTTGGTCCGTTTCTGGGCCTCCTGGGAGGCCCTCGTCGCCACCGCTGGAGTCGTCTCGGAATCCTCGGGAGTACAGTAGGGGCCCGACTTCAAGAAACCTTCCACAAGAATCCCTACCCTGAGACCCCAGGACGTCCATTGATTTCTGGTGTGGGAACGTCATGCTTCCCATTGCAAAACCATCGAACCTCCAGGAAACGCAGGGCACCCGGAAGGCAAGCAGGGTGTTTCTTGGCATGGCCCCCCACTGTAGCCGTATCGGTACCTGTTCGTTTCCCCCATTTATGGGACGCAGGCTTGGTCAGTTCTGCCGGCCAGTGTGCTGACCTTGAGCGCAGCCCTTGCTGCAGCAGGTGATGATCCTTGCTGCAGCAAGGGCAGCATGGGCTGCGCTCAATGTCATCACCTGCTGTAGCAAGGGCTGCGCTCAAGGTGGCAAGGGTACTCAGCAAGGTGCTGTTGAGCAGCGACTGCCACCATGCCTTGAGCAGCGCTTGAGCAGCGCTGCTCAAGGCCTTACCCCGCTGCTCATGGCGCTTGCCATCAGGCATTACTTGCTGTAGCCAGGGCTGTGCTCAAGGTCCGCCACCCTTGCTTCACCTGGTGCCCTGCCCATCCAGAGGTGGAGCACTTCCTAGAGGGCCGGCTGGTTGCCAGCTTCTACGGCAACACTTGGGTTGACTTCTTCGCGAATTCGGTTGCCCAGGGGCACTTTCCTTCTCGTGTCGTGCATGGTGCCTGCGCGGCTCACCTTTCAGATGCTCGCAGTGAGGCTCAGCTGATCGCATGGCGGATGGCCAAGCTGGGCGAGCTGCATCATGGTACGGACGGCTTGGTGATTAAGACGTGGCGAATCCCAGCGCCCGCAGCACACGGACATGTGGTGTCAGTGTCAGGGCGCTAATTGTCTGGGGCCAGCATTCGGAGGGTTCTGGTGTTGTGCTCTGTGCGGGGTTACAGCAGGCACGGATGAGGCCAAATTGCGCCTCGAGCGCGCAGCCTGTGCGCCCTTGCCGCTGCAGAAATTAGAGGCTACTGCTGCCACCTGCTCTCTTTCTTCCTAGGCCTCTCTCCCTTCTGCCAGCGAGGAGGCTACAGCGGTCGCCCTTGCTGAGGTGGACCGTTACCTGAGCTCGCCCCCCATGTCTACCCCCTCGGCCACTAGTTTGTCTGCTCCTGTGGCAATTGCGTCCAGAAGGCCTCCGGAGATGTATTTTCTTTTTTACATGCTTCGGGCACACCACTTGGTCCCCGAAGGCCCCAGTGTGTCTTGCCTGAAGTGTGGAGGGCCCAAGCAACGGTTTCTCCGTCTCTTTCCTCCTCCTGCGTCTTCTCCGTGGCACCGCCCTCAAGACGGAGCGAGCGGTGGAGGCGTTTCGAGCGTGGCCCTCTTCCCTCGAACCCGGCGGAAGAAGGTCGTCCTCTAGAGTTGGGTTCCCACGGGCCTCAGCCTCGTCATTCGGTCGAGTGTGGTCTTAGCGGGCCTCGGCCCCCGTCCCTCCGCAGCTGGAACGTGGAGCGAGTGTGGAGGAGCACGGCATCACCTTCTTCATGCGCCTACTGCTGCTCCCCCCCTCCTCCTAGATCCTCGGTCGTCCTCCTTCTCCTCCTCCTCCTCCTCCTCCTCCTCCTCCGCCACGATCCTCGATTCTCCTCGTCGTCGTCGTCCTCCTTCTGGGATCCTGGACTCCTGATGGCTAGGGGGTCTTCAGACGCAGCCATCCCTCATCCTCCGTGAAACATCGATCCCTATCCTCCTCCTCCTCCTCCTCCTCCTCCTCCTCCTCCTCCTCCTCCTCCTCCTCCTGCGCGATCTTCGATCCTCGATCTCCTCGTCGTCGTTCTCGGCTTTGGCAGTCCTCCTCTCACCCGCCGGTGCTGCCTGCCCGCTGCTCTCCCCCCTCGCCTCTCTTCCCGCTTCCGCGCCCCGCCGCGTTCGCTCCGAGCCACCGCCCAGGGCGGTCCGTCCAAAGGAGGGGTCGGGGGTGGACAGACCTCCTACCCTGACACGTCGAGTAAGGAATTGGCCGTTCTCGGTTCGCGAGAGGGCGTCGCGGCCGTCGTTTTTGCGGGTCCAGGTCCGTCGATTTCGGTCCCAGGCCGTTTTCACTAAGGGGAGGTCTACTAAAGGGAGGTTTGTCCACCGCCGAGGGGGGGGGGAGGGGCGCCGATCCGAAAAATCCGCGCGGACCTCCGAGTTTTTATGTTTATGCCACTTTCTGTCCCCCTATCAAGGGAGGAAAAAAACACCCGGGCCCGATGACCGGCGTTTGTGCGAAGCGGCCCTGGGCGTTCACTGAACAGCCCTGCCCTGTTCGATGCCTTCGTTGGGTGCGTTTGCCAAACGGCTCCGCGTTTCGGGGTGATTCTTACGAGGGTGGATTTTCTGGTCTACTCCCTTCGCGGGTTTTCTTGTTTGTCCTCTTCGGGGGGTGGGCGCAAGCCCAATCTACAGTGGAAACCCATGCCAAGAAACACCCTGCTTGCCTCCAGGGTGCCCTGGACTTCTTGGGTTTCGATTGTTCTGCTATGGAGAGCGTGATGTGCTCCCACACCAAAAGTCAATTCACGTCCTCAGGTTTTCTCGTGGAAGGTTTCTTGTGGTCGAGCTCCTACTGTACTCCCCGGTGATCCTTCTCTTTTCATTGTTTTGCCGATCGGCGCGGGCCCTCGCACCCCCCCACCTTCCCGCCCTGGTCTCCCTCACACGACGCATTGTTGCCAAGAGTGGCATTCAGCAGAGGTCAGGAGCCAGACCCCCACCCCTCTCCCCCCAATTTCGCCCAATGTCGAAGCGCCGGTAAGAACACGCTCGCCAGCGCCTTCCTACTTCATGCTTCTGCCCCCCTCTTGCGACCCATGGCGAGCCCCCCCCGGCGATTCTCGTTGAGAACGGTCGTCTGGGCCTCCCGGATGGGATCCCGAGTGGAGTTCGGTCGGGTATGTCCTTCTACAGGCAGATTTTGTACGAAAAATAGTCAAGTCAAGTCAAGTCACCCCGCTCGCACGAGGGCGGGCCCATATAGGGCGCGAGGGAAAAACAAGTTACAGTGCAAGCAGGAAGCGGCGGGCGTGCTCACTCACAGAAATCCAAGAAGTCCTCCGTCATATCTGCCCAGGCAGCGTCGTCTTGCGCGGCTTCTTGCCACGATCCAAAAAAACAGAATTGTCGAGAGAGCACGAACATCGTCCCCAGATTATTTAATTTACTATTCTTAACGTTTTCTCCTGTAGAGGGACATGTCCGACTTAAAGGGTACAGTTTCTGTAGAGGGAGATGCCCGACTTCAAGGGTAGAGTCGACCCGCATGGTAAGAATGAACGACTTTCCAAGCCTACCCGCCGGTCGTTGAAATGAGGTACGTCTAGGTTCCCAGATCCCAGTCTAATTTGATCCGCCTTCCTACTACAAGACTCGAACGCTTATCCCTCTCCCCTCCTTTTCGGGGGGCTGGCGGAGCTCCAACCTACTTCCAACGCCTTCCTACTTCATGGTTCTACCAACTTCTTTCGACCGACGGATAGTCTAGGCCTTCCAGATGAAGTCCGAGTAGAGGCGACCCGCATAGCAAGAATTAATAGTTTTCCAAGGTTGCCCTTGCATCCTGCCCCTTCGGGCCATCCTTGGCCGCTTTCGCTGGCCGCGACCCGCTCGCAGAATTTCGAAATGGCATCCTTATCGTGCATCCTTTTTCTACGGGTTGAATGTAGGCTAGGTCGAAGGATCGCGCCGCAACGCCGATGCGTCGCCGATGCGTCTCGATGTGGAGCCCGATCGTCTCCACGCCGAGGGCGCCGATGCCGAGCGGCCCGCCCGATGGGGGGGTGGGGCGGAGCGAGCCCTCCCCGGGTGATCCTCGTCGGGGGATTTTTGGGGGGGGCCCTGGCCAGCTTGGGGAAGGTCGGGGCGATTGGAAGAAAGGGAGCGGGAGGGCGGGGAGGGAGCAGAAAGGGGGGAGGGGGGGGGGGGTCGAGAAGAGAACTCACAGGGCGGAGGAGGGCGAGGAGGATGGCGATGGGAGGAGGGGGGCTGCCGCCGAGCCCTCCCCCGGTGATCCTCGCCGGGTGCCAGCCTGGGTACGGCAGGTGCGTGTCGTGTCTGCGCGGTGGCGACCCTGCCGCGGGCATGCAAGGTTGAACGTCGCAGGTGGCCCAGAATCGGTGAGTACCGCACGATCTGGCCGTGGAAATGCCGCCGACCTTGCAAGGTTAAACGATCCACGTGGTGACAGAAACCAATGCCGAAGTCGTCAAGACACGAACCAGCCGTACATCAGCATCGTGCCTGACCGATCTCACCCCCCAAGGTGGGGATAGGCCCCGCGAGCCCCGAAGGTAGCACTGCACATATCCCCTTCTGGGTGGTGGTGGTGGTGGTGGTGGTGGTGGTGGTGGTGGTGGTGCATCGGGCAATCGTGCCAGGGCCATACCAGTGGGAAGCATGATAGTTTCAACGACGGACGCCTGGTGGCATTCGGACCTAAAATTGGGGTCCCTGGCGCCTGACGGCCATTCGAGACGATGCGGGCACCCCCGGATGCCTCTCCGCGAGGCGCAGCTGCTGGAGAGCACCCCTTAGCTGGGATGCAACTCCTGGAAGGTGAGATTCTGTATTGGCGCTGGTATTTACGCGGTCGATGACCGACTTAATCTGGGCTCATCCGGCTTCATTTGGCTTAATCCCGCTTCATCCCGCTTGATGACTCGCACTCCAGCTTAACCCCGGGCTCAGTTTGGACCGCTCCGGTGAAGGGGCCTCCAATCGGGTCCCACCGCCCGTAATATTCGTTCCAGCGAAGACCTCCCAGGAGTTGCCTCCTAACATTGTGTCCTCCTCTCTCCTCCAGTGTCTCCCCCTCTTTCTTCTCACGCCTCTGCTTTTCACCGCACTTTCTTCTCATTGCCCCTGCTTCCCTCTCATGCCCCCCGCAGGTACCCAGCTGAGGCTTAGCTGGAAACCCGCCGAGAACCGAGGGGAACCCTCTGGTTCGATGCTCGTTTCGGGGACCTTCCTGGAGCCCACCTAACGGATCTGTTCGACCCCAGTTCGACTCAAGTTCGACTCAAGTTCGACTCAAGTTCGACTCAGGTTCGACTCAGGTTCGACTCAGGGTCGACCCAACTCGACTGACGTTCGACGCAGCTTCGACGCACGAGTGGAGCGAGTGGCTCCAGGAAGGTCCCCAGAATGAGCATCCAGCTCTGGAAACTCGAGCCTGGAACCATCCCCCCCCGACGCCGCCGCCGCCGCCGCCCCCCCCCCCCTCCGCGCGCCGCTCGCCCGCCCGCAGGACGCCTCGCCGTCCCGCTTCGAGATGCAGCAGCTGGATGGGGGGGGGGGCCTCGTCGGGCGGCGTCGGGCGGCAGCAGGTCGGATGGCAAAGGACAGGCCAGCCACAGCTGGGGGAGCTGTGGTCCTCACCAGGGGGCCACATGCGAACCCCACCCTCCCCCTCAGAAATCGGGGGGGGTAGGGGTAGGGTTCGCGTGTGGCCCCCTACTTACCCCCCCCTGGGGGGCCCAATCGATGTCGACACCCCTCTCGAGAGATCGTCGACGCGAGGGGTTCCCCCAGGGGGGGGGCAAGGACCACCGCTCCCCCAGTTGTGGCTGGTCGGAAGGAGAAGGTCATCGATCGGCGTCGAGCGAGGGGGCAGTGAGAAGGAGAAGGCCTTCTCAGAAGGCGGCGGGACTTCTCGCACGCTCCGCCGCCTTCTGAGAATCTGCTAGCGTCTTCGAAGAAGGTTCGGGGGCCTTCCGAGCCTTCTGAGAAGGCCTTCTCTTTCTCATTTCCCCCCGGGCTCGCCGCCGAGAGGAGAAGGTCATCCAGGACAATACACCCCAACCCGAATAACATGCCGACGACGCGGGCCTCACTCAGGTCCCTGTCTTTGCATTAGGGGTACTCTGAATTGTGGGCGGTTTGGTTGGGTATATCTGCAGGACCGCCCTTCCCTGATGTTGTCGGCCCTCCCAACTTAGGTCACTTCCCAACGGGTTAGGGGTTCTTTTATTAGTGCTAATCAGAAGGTGCCGCTGCCGCTACCCGTCCCTCAAACTCGGGCCGACAGCTTTGGGGGGGGGGGGGGGGCAATGCGCGTGGGGTTTCTTGAGCTTCGATGGTTCTGTCATGGAAAGCGTGAGGCTCCCACACCAAACATCGATGGATGCCCTGGGTTCTCAGGGTTGGGTTCCTTGAGGAAGATTTCTTGTGGACTGGCCTCCACTCCACCTGTACGGCCCTTGAGCTGCCGCCGCTGACCCAAAGAGGTGCACGAGAGGGGACGTTCTTCCATTCTACGTTTCTCTCGGGAGGGGAAAATATGCACGGACACAGACAACCGTCGACCTTCATTAAGAAACATGAGGAGCACTTGGGAATCTGGGATGTGGAGAGTCTCTTGACAACTATGGGAACATGTGGTTCATTCTGGGACTTGTGGTTTGTATGTCTTTACCTGTGTGTGTCCCTGGGCCCCTTCGGCACCGCCCTTCCCGGTAACTGAGCGCCCGACCGTCGCCACGGCTGGACTCGCGTCTCGAGGCCCCAGTCTGGACCCTCCACCCACCAAAACACCCCCGAACCCAAGGGGGCCCCGGGTCGCCCTCCATGCCCAGGGGGGGGGGGGGCGTCGGGGAACAGTAAACGGTCACGTCTGCAGCCCGTACTCCCCCCCCGCCTCCAGCCCGAAATTTGGGCCTTCGGGTCAGGGAAGGGTTGTCTGAGGTAATTCGGCAGTCGGGAGGAGGAGGCAGAACATGAGGATGATGAGGAGGATGAGTAGGAGTAGGAGTAGGAGTAGGAGTAGGAGGAGGAGGAGGAGGAGGAGGAGGAGGAGGAGGAGGAGGAGGAAGAGGGAGGAGGACGAGGAGGAGGGAGGAGGAGGAGGAGGAGGGAGGAGAAGAGGAAGAGGAGGAGAAGGAGGAGGAGGAGGAGGAGGAGGAGGAGGAGGAGGGGGAGGAGGAGGAGGGAGGAGGGAGGAGGGAGGAGGGAGTAGGGAGGAGGGAGGAGGAGGAGGAGGACGAGGAGGAGGAGGCCCTCGGCAGCCTGCCATCTGTCATCAAGGACGGATCCCAGGGGCGAACAGCTGCCTCCGAGGAGGGGAGCACGACTCCAGCCAGCAGGGCCCATGGGGTCTCTGCCAGGGAGGGGCAGGCCGCTCCAAGCCAGGTGGGGCAGGCCGTCCCGGATCAGGTTGGGGTGGTGGTCCACCGCCAGGGGATGTCCAGGTCCGCTGCTTCGGAGTCGTGCCCTGGGCTCTCCAGGAGGGGCCTTCGAGGTTCGAGCTTCGAGGTTCGAGGCGCTTTTGTTCCCCTTCATCCTGTGGTGTTGGGTCCTCGCTTTGAAGAGACAGCGCTCCGCTTCCTCCTTCCTCCCCCTCCTCCCTCCTCCCAGCATTTCCCCCGCTCAGTATATAACGTTTCGTTGCCCTCACTGGAAGAGTTTCACCGAAGGCCCCAGTGGCACCGCCCGCATGCGTCACCCCCACCCAGTGCGGCGTCTCGTGGCCCCGCAGCTCCACCGGAGGCCCCAGTGGCACCGCCCGCGTTCGTCATCCCACCCAGTACGGCGTCTCGTGGCCCCACTGGCAGCTCCATCGAAGGCCCCGGTGTTGCCGCCCGCATGCGTCACCCCCCCCCAGTACTAGTACAGCGTGCCTTGGCCCCACAGGGAGCTCCACCGAAGGCCCAAGTGGCACCTCCCGCATGCGTCACCCCACCCCGTATAGCGCTTCGTGGCCCCATAGGGAGATCCACCGAAGGCGCCAGTGGCTGCACTCGCATGCGCTTCTCCCACCCAGCACATTGTTTCAAGGCGCCATATGGAGTTCCACTGAAGGCTCCATTGGCGGTGCTCGCATGCGTTCCCCCCACCCAGTACAGCGCTTCATGGCGCCATAGGGAGTTCCACCGAAGGCACCAGTTGCGCTGTTCACATGATTTCCCCCACCCAGCACAGCGCGTCGTGGCCCCAGAGGGAGATCCACCGAAGGCGCCAGTGGCTGCACTCGCATGCGCTTCTCCCACCCAGTACATCGCTTCATGGCGCCATATGGAGCTCCTCTGAAGGCTCTAGTTGCGGTGTACGCATGCGTTTCCCCCACCCATTACAGCGCTTCATGGCGCCATAGGGAGTTCCACCGAAGGCACCAGTTGCGCTGTTCACATGCTTTCCCCCCGCCCAGCACAGCGCTTCGTGGCCCCATGGTGAGCTCCACCCAATGCCCCAGCGGCTGTACTCGCATGCGTCACCCCCACTTCGTACAGCATTTTGTTGCCCCATATGGAGCTCCACCGAAGGCCTAAGTGGCTGCCCGCCCCAATGCGGCGTGCCCCTCGCACTTTTCGCGGCCTCGTAGTGCGTTCCGCCTAGAGCACCAGTGGCAGCGCCCACATGGCGGCCCACATCGGCACGCCCTTCGCATGCTTCATGGCCCCATGACGAGATCCCCCCAAGGCGATGCCCGCAACGACTGTTCCTGGGCCCCCGAAACTCGATCCTGGGTTGAAGACCGCGTCGGGTGGACCCCAGGAGGGATCCGGGGACCGATTTTGGACGATGTTCGGCGGCGCGCCCAGGGGGGGAACGTGAGAGAACGAGAAGGACTTCTCAGAAGTCGGTGGGACTTCTCAGAAGCCCTCGCTCCTCCTGAGAAGTCTTCTGTGTCTTTGGGGGAAGGAGGAATATTCAAGAATTGTAAAAAATAGACTGGGGACGATTACTATTGCTCTTGTGACTGTTTTGAATATTTTTTGAATAGTTCCATTTTTAAAAATTCTGCGCGTAGGAGGACATGCTCGACCTAAGCTTAGCAAGTCTCTTGGACGGCCTGGGGACTGCCGAGCCTTCTGAGAAGGCCAGCCCCTTCGCAATTCCCCCTGGGCTCGCTGCCGATATCTGCCTGCCCGCATGGGCGGCCAGATAGGTAGTCCACATCTTCTAGGCCTCTTAGATGGGGTCGGAGTAGATGGGGTCGGATTATCGCGCCGCATCGCCGATGCATCCTCGATGCGGCTTGATGTGGAGCCTGATTTGCTTCACGTCAACGGCGCCGATGACTCGTCGACGTCGCCCAATGCATCGCCGATGCATCGCCGATGTATCGCCGATGTATCGCCGATGCGGCGCGATCCTCTGACTCCTTCTACTCGGATCCCATCTAGCTAGTCCACATCCACCGCTCCCTGGGCCCCTGGGGCACTGGAGTGCACGAATCCCTCCGCCTCGTCCTCCTCCTCCTCTTCCTGCTCCTGATCTTCATCACCCTCATCCTCCTCATCCTTGTCTTCATCCTCATCCTCCTCCTCGACATCATCAGCATCTCCACTACCACCCACCATCTGGACCTTCGTCGTCGTCATCGTATTCGTCTTTGACTTCGTGGTCATACCCATGTTTAATTGTCTTTATCATCGTTATGCTCGTACTTCCACTCCTGCATCAATTTTCTTCCCTTCCCCTTTTCCTTCCCTCCCTCCTCCGCCCTTTCCCCTTTCCCTTCTTCTCATCCTTCTCCCCTCCTGTCTTTGTACTCCTCCCCTCCTGTCCTGCTATTCCTGTTTGGACGGATGCAGGCAGAGATGGAGAAACAGTACATCGCCACCTGGGAGATGAATATGGCCGCCCCGCCGCCATCGCCAGAAGCCTCCCCTCAGACTCCATAGCTCCTTCATTCCCTCCTGCCTTCCCCCTCTTCCCTCCTCCTGCTCCTGACGTTCCTTTTGTTGTTGTTGTTGTTGTTGTTGTTGACGTTGTCGTTGCTGTTGTCGTCGTCTTGTTGTTGTTGCTGTTGCTGCTGTTGTTGTTGTTGTTGCTGCTGTTGTTGTTGTTTGTGTTGTTGTCGTTGTTGGTTGTAAGTGTTGTTGTTGCGGTTGTTTGTGAGTGTTGTTGTTGTTGTTGTTGTTGTTGTTGTTGTTGTTGTTGTTGTTGTTGTTGTGAATGTCGTCGTTGTTGGTGGTGTTGTTGTTGTATGTAAATAGTGTTGATGATGATAGTGTTGTTGTTGTTGGTGTTGTTGTTGATGATGTTGTTGTTGTTGTTGTTGCTGTTGTTGTTGTTGTTGTTGTTGTTGTTGTCGCCGTTGTTGTTGTTGTTGGGGTTGTTGTTGTTGGTGGTGTTATTATTATTGTTGATGTTGAGTTCTCATTCCTGAAAAATAATTATTGTTGATCCCCCCACCGCTGCATACTTTTTTTCTCAATCAAAGTGTGCCCCTCGACGCTCGTACCTTGTTTTTTGACAGCGAAAGTCTTCCTGCTCAAACTGGCCCCCTGGCCCTTGGTTTACAACAACAACGGCTCCCGCTTGAGACTTCCTTACAATTTAGCCAGGACCCCGCTCCCGCCCGAGACTTCCTCGCATGTTATTCAGGAATCGCGCTCTCGCTTGGGAGTTCCTTACAATTTATTCAGGAATCGCTCTCCCGGCGCTCTGGAGTCGCATTCTCGCTGGAGACTTGCTTGCAACTTACTGAAGAATGGCCTTGCGTTGGGATTTCCTGCAAATTGCCCAAGCGCCGCGCTCCCGACACCCAGGCACCCAGGAGTCGCGCCCGTTGTGGCCCAATGTGCATGCCCTTCGTGGCCCCGCTGTCGCCATTTGTGTCCCCCTTGCTGTCCTACGTGGCCCAGTTGTTACCCTCAGTGGCCCCATAGTTGCCTTCTGTGGCCCCGCATTATCTGCATTTCGTGGCTCCCGCTCGTTCGCGCTCTTCGTGGCCCCATACGCATTCCCTTCGTGTCCCCGCTGTCGCCCTTCGTGGCCTACTTCGTGCCCTTCGTGGCCCTGCTGTCGTTCTCTCTCGCTCTCGCTTTCGCTCGTCGTCGCCGTCGTCGTCGTCGTCGCCGTCGTCTTTCGTCGTCGTCGTCGTCGTCGTCGTGGTCGGTCCCCTGTCCGTCCCTCTTGGGGTCGAGTCGACGGTCCGCGGCCGCCCCGCCGATCAGCGCTGCCGCTGGCCAGGCCGACGGTCCGCGGCCGCCCCGCCGCTTGCCGGGGCCCGGCCTGCAGGGAAGAAAGGTATACCCCCCCAAAGGGGTTCGATCGAAGACGAAGTGGGCGGGTATCGAGGGTTTGGGAAATACGCGTTATTGGGCACTCGAGCATATAAGGGCGAACGGTCTTAAAGTTGTTGTAGTAGTAGTAGTAGTAGTAGTAGTAGTAGTAGTTGTTGTTGTTGCTGTTATTGTTGTCGTTGTGAATTCTCATTAAGAATAATTATTGTTGATCCCCCCCCACCGGTGCATACTGTTTTTCTCAATCAAGGTGTGCCCTCGACGCTCGCACCCTGTTTTTTTGACAGGGAAAGTCTTCCTGCTCAAACCTTGCCCCCTGGCCCCCGGGTTACAACAACAACGGCTCCCGCCTGAGATTTCCTTACAATTTAGCCAGGACCCCCGCTCCCGCCCGAGACTTCCTCGCATTTTATTCAGGAGTCGCGCTCTCGCTTGGGAGCTCCTTACAATTTATTCAGGAATCGCTCCCGGCGCTCTGGAGTCGCATTCTCGTTGGACACTTGTTTGCAACTTACTGAAGAATGGCCTTGCGTTGGAATTTCCTGCAATTTGCCCAGGCGCCGCGCTCCCGACACCCAGGCACCCAGGAGTCGCGCCCGTTGTGGCCCAATGTGCATGCCCTTCGTGGCCCCGCTGTCGCCATTTGTGTCCCCCTTGCTGTCCTACGTGGCCCAGTTGTTACCCTCAGTGGCCCCATAGTTGCCTTCTGTGGCCCCACATTATCTGCCCCCGCTCGTTCGCGCTCTTCGTGGCCCCATACGCATTCCCTTCGTGTCCCCGCTGTCGCCCTTCGTGGCCTACTTCGTGCCCTTCGTGGCCCTGCTGTCGTTTTCTCTCGCTCTCGCTTTCGCTCGTCGTCGCCGTCGTCGTCGTCGTCGTCGTCTTCGACGTCGTCGTCGTCGTCGTCGTCGTCGTGGTCGGTCCCCTGTCCGTCCCTCTTGGGGTCGGGTCGACGGTCCGCGGCCGCCCCGCCGATCAGCGCTGCCGCTGGCCAGGCCGACGTTCCGCCCCGCCGCTTGCCGGGGCCCGGCCTGCAGGGAAGAAAGGTATACCCCCCAAAAGGGGCTCGATCGAAGACGAAGAGGGCGGGTACCGAGGGTTTGGGAAATACGCGTTATTGGGCACTCGAGCATATAAGGGCGAACAGTCTTAAACTTGTTGTTGTTGTTGTTGTTGTTGTTGTTGGTGTTGTTGTTGTTGTTGTTGTTGTTGTTGTTGATGTTGAACATTATTACTTCTCAAGAATAATTATTGTTGGGACCCCTGGTGCACGACCCCCCTCCAAAACCTAGGCCGCAGCTACATTTTCATCATTTTTTCGCGAAAGCTTCAGAAAAGTGGATTGTGTCCGGATCCGGTTGTTTTGTTGACGCTCGTTTTCCCTTGCAAAAAACATATAAAATGAAAATTCTTGTTTTTACTTGATCAAATTGCAAGAATCCCTTGCAAAAAATAAGGTAAAGTGGACATTCGTGCGCGCAAGACGAAATCCTTCCAAAACCTTAGGTTTCGTAACGATTTTAACATAAAAACATCAAAAACCCAATGGTTTTTTAAGAAAAAATTGTCAAAATGTCCTTCCGCGCGCGCTGTCCGAATCCCACAAAACCAATGGTTTTTCAACATTTATGTTACATGAGCTCGCGCGAGCTACTTTTTCTTGTTCTAACATAATCAAATTTCAATAATCCCTTGCAAAAAATAAGGTAAAGTGGACATTCGCGCGCGCAAGACGAAATCCTTCCAGAACCTTAGGTTTCGTAACGATTTCAACATAAAAACATCAAAAACCCAATGGTTTTTCAAAAAAAAATGTCCAAATTTCATCCCGCGCGCGCTGTCCGACTCCCACAAAACCAATGGTTTTTCAACATTTATGTTACATGAGCTCGCGCGAGCTACTTTTTCTTGTTCTAACATAATCAAATTTCAATGCTCCCTTGCAAAAAAAAAATAAAGTGGACATTCGCGCGCGCAAGACCAACAAAAAACACGACGATCTCAGGAACTTGCCCCAAAAATGTGACCAACTCCGCTCTCTCTGTCTCTCTCTCTGTCTGCTCTCTGTCTCTCTCTCTGTCTGTCTGTGTCATGTATTGTATGTCACAATTGCAGGATGCTGGGCACACGCGCGCCCCGAATAAGTGACCAAGTTCTGTGGGTGTGTACCCCACGCCAGTGTAGTAGCCACGGTCGTCCGCACGCCACGAAGTGAAGTGTCCCAACGTCATAGGGCGGGAAGCTGGGTTTGGGTGGTCGCGAAGAGTCGTTTGGATATTTGGTAGAGCTTGAACTGCCCCCCCACGAAGTGGGGGTATTGTCTGGCGTCGCATGAAAACCCTGGCACTGGTGAGAACACTGAGCGTTCGGGTAAAATGATTGTTGTTGTTGTTGTTGTTGTTGTTGTTGTTGTTGTTGTTGTTGTTGTTGAACATTATTAATTCTAAAGAATAATTATTGTTGGGACCCCTGGTGCACGGCCCCCCTGCGCCGCCTAGGCCGCAGCTACATTTTCATCATTTTCGTGAGGAAGCCTCAGGTAATTCGATGTGATCAAGATCCGGTTGTTTTGTTCCCCCCCGCTTTCCCTTGCAAAAAACACTATAAAATGACATTTCTTGTTCTAATATAATCAAATTTCAAGAATCCCTTGCAAAAAATAAGGTAAAGTGGACATTCGCGCGCGCAAGACGAAATCCTTCCAAAAGCTTAGTGTTCGGAGCGATTTTAACATAAAAACATCAAAAAACCAATGGTTTTTCAACAAAAAAATGTCAAAATCTCATCCCGCGCGCTCTTGCGGATTCGTAGGAAACCCAACACTTTTTAAACATTTCTGTCAAACGGGCTTTTGCGAGCAACTTTTTCGAACTTCTGCGACAACGGTTGCGCACCTGCCAGGGCCATCATCCCTGTCAAATAATACCATGCGGGACACATTCGTTTTTTCTTCGCGCGCGCACGCCGAAATCTCCAAAAACCATTGGGCTTCTTAAGAATTTTAGCACCGCGCATCATAAAATCACACGAATCGCACCGTAGGTCCTCGAAAAACACCTGCACGACTTTTCAAAATTTCTACCCGCGCGCGCTGTCCGAATCCAAAAAAAAACCAATGGTTTTCCAACATTTATGTTACATGAGCTCGCGCGAGCTACTTTCGCACGCTCTTGCAACGGGGTTCGCGCGCCTGCCAGGGGCCACAATCCCTTGCGGTTGCGCCATAGGTTGCGCCCTCGGATGTTCTGTGGAAGGCTTAACAACTTCTGTGGGTTAACAAGGCTTAAGAACTTCTGTGGGTGTACGAACGTAGGCTTAACAACTTCTGTGGGTGTGTACTCCACGCCAGTGTAGTAGCCACGGTCGTCCGCAGGCCACGAAGTGAAGTGTCCGAACGTCATAGGGCGGGAAGCTGGGTGTGGGTGGTGGCGAAGAGTCGTGTGGATATTTGGTAGAGCTTGCACTGCCCCCCCACAAAGTGGGGGTATTGGCTGGCGTCGCATGAGAACCCTGGCACTGGTGAGAACACTGAGCGTTCGGGTAAAGTGATTGTTGTTGTTGTTGTTGTTGTTGTTGTTGTTTGGTGTGTTGTTGTTGTTGGGTTCCCATGCCGGAAGGAGAGTGATTTTTGCCCCCTCCTGTAACATGTGTGTCGTTTCAATTGAAGCGTCCTTCCTGGGATTCGCACCAGGATCGGTGTTCCCGCCTGTGCTTCCTCGCAGTTTAGTGGGGACCCCCGCTTCCATCTGAGACTTCCTCACACTTTGCTAAGGAGTGGCGTTCCCGCTTGAGACTTCTTCGCAATTGAGTCAAGACTTCGCAATTTAATCAAGACTCCCGCTCCCGCCAGAGAACCCCTCACATTTTATTCAGGAGTTGCGCTCTCCCCTGTGACCTCCCTAAAAATTATGCAGCAATCGCGCTTCCGACACTCAGGAAACACGCTGCGCCAAGGACGCCGCTACAATTTACTTAGTAATCGCGCTCTCGCCATGCACAGGCATCCCGCTTGAATGTCCCACCCGCCCGACCCGCCCGTCAGGGGATCGCCCGCCCGTCGTGGGTTCCTGCCCGGGACTTCCTTCAGGAACGGCGCTTTCGCCGAGGAGTTCTTCGAACGTTCGCGCTCTTCCCTTCCTGTTCCTCCTCCCTCTCCCTCCTCCCTCCGCCTCCCTATCACCCCCCTGTTCCCTCATCCTAAGGTCTCTCTGCCCTATCCCCTCTTCCTCCTCTCCCTTCTCCCTTTTCCCTCACCTTTCCTGCCTCCTCCCTCCTTTTTGTTTGTGTGTTCTCTCTCTCTCTCTCTCGCTCTCCCCTTTGTTTGTTTCCCGCTCTCTCTTTCTCTCTCTCTCTCTCTCTCGCTCTCTCTCTCTCTCTTTCTCTCTCTCTCTCTCTCTCTCCCCCCATATCTCTTTCAATCTCGCTCCACCTCTCGTATATGTTTGTTTGCTGTCTGTCTCTCTCTCTCTCTTTCTCTCTGTCTCCCTCTGCTTCTACTCGGCGGCCCCCCTCTTTGCTCCTTCTCTCCTGGCGTTTTCCCTCTTCCTTCGCCCCTCCCCCCCCATTCCTTCCATTCTCCCTCGTTCTCTCCCCCTCTTCCTTTTGCAGGGCCCACACCAATTCCAATGGCGGGCTCATGTACGCCCACGAAAGATTGTCCGCCCGTTCAGGTTTGCCCGCCTGTCTAAGCCAGCCGCACCCCGCAAAGAGAAATAATCCCCCCAAAAGGAATGTGATCGAAGACAAGAAGGGCGGGTATCGAGGGTGCGGGGAACTCATTTTGAATGACACGGGCAAGTAAGAGCGAACAGTCTTAGAATGATTGTTCTTGTTGTTGCGATTGTTTGTGAGGTTGCTGCTGTTGTTGATGTTAGTGGTCGTGTTGGTGTGTTGTTGGCGGTGTTGTCGTTGTTGTCGCCGCCGTCGTTGACGCCGTTGTTGTGGTGAGTGCTGTTGTTGTTGCTGTTGTTGTTGTTCAATTGTTGTTGTGTTTATGTTGTTGTCGGCGGTGCTGTTGTTGTTGTTGTTGTTGTTGCTGGTGTTTTTGTTATTGCATGTTTGTTGCTAACGTACGTATTGTTGACCCCCCTCTGGTGACCATTGCACGTTTCGGTTAAAATGATCCCCCGGTGCCCGCACCCTGTTTGTGTAACAGAGGAAGCGAGGTGTCACCAAATTGGGCCCTTGGCCCCCGAGTTGCAACAACAACGGCTCCCGCCTGAGAGCTCCTCACATGTATTTCAAATGCGCGCTATTGCGCGGGACGTCCTCGCACTTTGTACAGGAATCGCGTCGATCTGAACACGTGCAGATCCGCCGCCGCCGCCGCCTCCTCCTGCCCCCAATCTTCTTCAATTCCTCAGGGGTCTCCCCCTGGCGAGGTCGCAGGTGTTTACCCGACGTGGCAATGATACAATCATTACAAGTGTTACGCGGTTCAAGTGGCAAGGCCGCCAGTCAGGACCCACGGATCAGGATCGCAATCGTCCCGTTCCGCTCCGCTCCGTTCCGTTATTCCTCTGTTGTTGCTCCTCCTCGTCTTCCTCGTCCTCCTGCTGCTCCTCCTTCTCCTCCTCGTCCTCCTCCACCACCCCCTCGTCCTCCTCCCCTTCCTCCTCCCCCCCCTTCCCCTTTCCCCCCCTATTCCTCCTACTTTTCCTCCTCCCGGCGTGTCTTCTCATGTGCTCGATCCCCCCCGCGCCCCTCCGACGAGGCTGCGTGGGCCGCGTGCGAGGCGGCGCAGGAGCCCTCCAGTTGGACGGGCTTCGGCGGAGGATCGAGGTGCGAGAAGCGAGGATCGAGGGTGTTGGACGTTTTCGGAAATGACGGGGGGAGGGGTAAGCCAGTCGGGGGGAGGCGAGGGGATGGGGGAGGCAGAGAGGAACAGAGGGATACATATGTTATAAACATATGTGTGTATGTGTATGTGTATGTATGTATGTATGTATGTATGTATATATATATATATATAAGAGTGCATTGGCGCTTCGCGCCATGCACCATGGTCCTTGAAGTTTGACATGCTGGCGGAAACGCAGGAAGGTAAACCTTAACATTTAGCGATCACTCCTTGTTTCCTTTTCCGGCGTCGCCGTTCTAATAATGTGGTTCATCATTTTTCCTTCATGCTTCCTGTTCCTGTTCGCCCTACCCTGCGAATTATTGCTTATCTTCCTCAGCTCTTTTTGTGGAGGTTTCTCCTTGGAGAGCCTCTTGGGGGCCTCGCGACAGTTTTCCAAGGGCACCGTGGGGCCGTCTGGAGGCCTCGAGGGCGCTTTCTGTGGGTCTCTGGGAGCTTCCTCAGGCCACCCTGCTTCCAACCGCGGTCTCCCTGAACGACCGGGTCACGACTTGGAAGGCGTCGGGGGGGCATATTGGGGCCATCTTGGGCCGTCATGGGGCTCTTTTCGGGTCATCTTGGAACCCTTTTGTGCTGTCGTAGGGCTCTCGTGGACTGCCTGGATGCCCTTTCGGATAGTTTTGGTGCCATTTTCGGGTGTCCTGGGCGGTCTAGGACGCCCGGGAACCAAGAACAGGGCATTCGCTAAATCACGCAAGAATTTTGGTACACCAGTTTTTTTCTGCGGTTTTGAAGTCTCTTGGGAATCTACTTCAGGTCGTCTTCGAATGTCTGGTGGGTGTCTGGGGTCTCTTGGGGCCTTCGGGGGTCGTTCGGCTGCCCTCCGGACCGATTTGGGCTGGTTGCCTAGGCCCAGCAGGGGCGTCCAGGAGCTCTGGCAAGCCTGGGGGACCTCCTGCAGGGGCGTCCCGGGGGCCCCCCGGGACCGTGGCGGCCACGGCTCGCGGGGGTCTGGTTTTGCTTTTCGGGGAGGGGGGATGTTTTCCCTGCCCCCCCGTCCCGAGGCGCCCCCCCCGTCCGCCAGACGCGGTCGAGGGGAGGTGCGTCCAAGGGGCGCTCAGTGTTGGAGCCGTGGTGTCCCGAGGCGCCCCCCCGGCCACGGGCCGCGGTCGAGGGGAGGTTCCGGGGGGGGGGGGGCGCTCGAGGTGGGAGCCGTGGTGTCCCGAGGCGCCCCCCGGCCGCCGCGGGCCCCCCGGGCCGAGCCACATCTTGCACTGTGGCCATGTTGGGAGCTGTTCTTGACGGGCCTGTTTTCCACCACCACCACCATAAGTTGGAGGGGAAGGGGGTCCTCCTCCTCCTCCTCCTCCTCCTCCTCCTCCTCATTCTGCTCCTCCTCCTTCTCCTCGTCCTCCTCCTCCTCCTTCACCCCTCCAACTTATGGTGGTGGTGGTGGAAAACAAGCCCATCAATTCTGGCGTGGTGATGCGGGATCCGGGAGCCTCATCGACCCTCCGGGTTTGTTTTTGGCCAGCATTGGCGATCTCTGGGTCCACCTCGAGGGCAGTTTGGGATTGTCATGGGGCTTTGTGGGCCATGTCGGGCGACGTGGGCGAAGTGCTGGAGCAATTGGTCGCCATCCCCAGGCTGGGCATTCTCGGTGGCTCTGGGACCGTTTTGAGTTTCTGTGGATATCATGGGTGCAGAACGTGGGACAAGGAACAAATACTGGCACCGTGAAGTTTTTCCGTGTTTGTTGACACATCGGGGGCGTATTTGGGGTTCCTGGGCAATATTTGAGGCCCTCTATTACCATCGTACCTATTTGGTGATTCTTGGGGCCGTCTTCGAGGCCAGTTGGGCTTTCCTTGCCACCTGGCGGCCATGGTAGAGTGAAATTGTTTGGAGTATTGGAGTATTGTAATTAGGGGGACCTGGGAGATGGAAGTATGAGGAGGAAGTCTACAACATCATGTGTATGGAAACTGAACTGGGGCTGCCAGTCCTCGAAAACCATGTGGGTTAGCCAGCAAGGCCGGCCCAGCGATGAACATCAGCAGGGCCACATAAGATCCCATTGGCGCCAGAATCGGCCAAATGATCAGCTCGTTCGTTCAAATATTGCCCAGTGTGGCTTTCCACTTTTCTGAAGACAATATAAGAAAAACCTGATCAAAGACATGACGAACACGAAGAACAAGTCGAAGGTTCGTCCTCCCCCGGGTGCGCCGCTGAGCCACGCCGGCCGCGCACTCTGAGTCGTACTCGATGATGACAGGTTGTGAAGATGGCATCAAAGCAATATGATCACGAACCCAAGACAAAGCGAAAAATAAAGCAGACAGTTCACCAACATTATTGGAATGATGATATGCACCGATGTATCCAGGCTCATTCGGGTCCAGGATGGCAGGCCCACAGTAGTCCCGGAGCGAGGAAGAAGAGGAGGAGGCAACAGTAGAACCCCACCCAGACACGTCTGTATCTGGCCCTGCGGTCGCCGAACCATCGCAAGAAAGTACGAGGGCCTCGTGTACTCGAAGATCTCCTGGGGCAGGCTGCTGAGGAAGTTGGTCCCCTCGTCGGCCTGCCGGCGGTCCTCCCCCTGGTCCGCCGCCTGCTGCAGGCGGCGTCCGCTGCGTGATGCGGGGCAGAGGTGGAAGAGCAGCACGATATATATATATATATATATATATATATATGTTCCAATGGTTGGGAACGGCACTGATCCAATTCGAGCAGAACTGGTTGTTGGCGACGCTCCGCGGCACAAGCCAAAGTAGCACTGGCGCTCACGTGCAGCAGGTACTCCGAGATGTACTTCGCCTCCTCCAAGGACGGCGTCGTTTCTGCTCCCAGACAGTGTGGGACCAGTCCGCACCGTGCCAGGCCAGGCAGGGGGGAAGACCGTCAGGATACGTATTCCCAGGTACGCGTGCATCAAGCATGCCGCGTGCAGCCGCATTGCACGGGCAGCTCCACAAACGGTGCATGGTGGTCTCGACGGCGCCTGTGCAGCGGACGCAGATCTCGTCGCCGTCGTGGTTCGGGATGCGGGTCTTGCTCAGGGAGGTCCAGATACCGCCGGTGGTGAGCGCGGGGCCGCCGTAGTGCAGCTGCGCGCCGAACGTGTGCTCTCGTGCCTCACGCACCTCGGAGAGACCTTGGTGCAGGCCGCCGAAGTCCTTCGGCCGGCGGGCGGCCTCCCGCTCAGCCAGGCAGCGCCGCAAGAAAACACGCAGGTCGTGAAGCCGAGTGTCTACCCGAGCAGCCTTGCGCAGTCGTGGATAATCGCGCCGGTCTGCTTGGGCAAGCAGCTCGGGGCGAATGCTGAAAGTGAAGGCGTAGTGGGTGCTCTTGAAAGACGTGGCAGTACGCCACTCAATGCCCAGCGCCCGACAAGCTCGATCCAACAGAGTGAAAGGTCCAAATTTGTGACGTCGTCGCTGTGCCCACAAAGAGCGCCACACACTCAAAGGTACAATGTTGGCCAGGACGACCCTGTAGAACATGCGGATAGCCGTGTAGACAGCCGCGCACGTCAAGTGCGTTCGGTGTGCGCCCGGCCCAAGCAGGTGGGTGAGGTCGCGCGATCTCCGACCCACTCGGCCCGGCGATACATTGCCCATCAAGGATACGGCGGCCCAAGCCGCTGCGTCCGACATCTGAGTCTTCGTAAAAGCATAGCGGCCGTCACACCAAAGCGCCGCCACGGCGTCGGCGACACCAGCGCCGCGCTGTGTCTGTGGTAAGATTTTGACGACGTCCACTCGTTTTCGAAACTGTTGCAGGTGTCTAGCAGCGACGGGCGCTGCCACCGGTGAGCCCAAGATTTGGTCAATCCCAAGATATCTGAAAGTACGCCGTGGTGGAATAACTCGCAGTTCGGGACTGCCGCACTCGGGGGCGCGCGTACCTGTGGTCGTGACCACCCCGCGGGCGCACTTCGGCACGTTCAAGTCTGGGCCAATGGCACGGTCAATCTCGCGTGTGGCTGCCAGAGCGTCGGCGAGTTCTTGCCACGAATGAGCCAGAATGAACCTGTCGTCGATGTAGGAGAAGAGCGTCGCCGTGGGTACCGCCCGCTCCACTGCCAAGTGCCACATGATTGAAGTTAAGTTGCACAGAATACACGCCATAGGACAGCCCTGCGGTACGCCGACGAGGTTGTCGCCCTGCAGCACGACGTCCGTTGGCTGGTAATCAACGAACAGAATACGGGATAGGTTCTTCTAGTTCCGAAGGACGTGCCCGCAGATGTCCAAGCCCAAGTGGTTGGTCAGCTCCAGCAGGATGTGCAAGTCCATCCAGTCGTAACACTTCTCGAGGTCCAGGGACAGCACGTAAGCTGGGTCGGTCTGCGCCACGCGCGCCTGCGCCAGCTTTGCTTGCAACTCCCATAATACGCCTGGACACGAATGTCGACCCCATCATCATGAACAAGGCCTTCGCCTTGTTCTTTCCCCCCTCATCATCCTTGTCCTCCTCCAACTGTTACGCATCATCACTACAGCAATGATGGACAAGAGCACCATTCCCATTCACAGCCTTCTCATCACTCATCCTCCTTTTATACAACTCCATCCACAGGAATCCTCCGTGTCATCGTTTTTGTCATCATGACCTCTCCCATTTTTCTTGTCCTTCGCCCTCCCACCCTTCGCGTCGGAAGCTGGGGAGGAGGAGGACAGCGTGGATCCCAATGCGTTGTTACGCTCCCCTGGCCAGTGCTAGAACACCATCGTGCGCGAAGCGCACGCGTTTTTCTAGTGTTTCATTTTTTTAAAATGTTTTATATATACAAAGATCTATATACATAATACATATTGCGAAGGCCTTACGGCCGGTGCCACCGACCCTGAGGTTGGGGAGGAGGGCGCGGAGCATGGGGGGGAAAATGGGGAGAGGGGGACAGGAGGGAGAGGTGGATGGGGAGGAGTAGGAGCACATGGGGGGAATAAGTAGGAGGAGAGTGAGGCGAGCAAGGTCGCATGTACAGGTGGAGGGGGGACACGAAGGAAGGGCAGGGGCGAGTGGAGCGTGGCGCTCATGAGGACGAGAAGGAGGAAGATAATGGCAAGGATGTTGACGATGTTGACGACGCCAGTTGCCTATCAGGACCATTCGGGGCGTCTTGGAGTCCTCATGGTGCGACTTCCAGTCTTCGTTCGCCGTTTTGAAGCTAGGTTTGGCATCTTGGGCATCTGGAAGGCCACGGAGTGTAGATTTGGAAGGCGCTGGGGCGGGGACCTGGGCCGGGGCCAAGGCCGGAGCGGGCCGGGAGCCAGGGTCAGGGCCGGGGCATGGGCCGGGGCCAAGGCCAGGACTGGGGCCCGGGCCGGGGTCAGGGCCGGGGCCCGAGGCCGGGACTAGATCCTCCGGGGTTGGGGCCGGGGCGGGAGCCGGGGCCGGGCGGGACCAGGTACCTATAGGGCCAGGGTTCGGGCCGCGGCCGGGAGCGGCCGAGGCCGAGGCCGGGGCCAGAACCGGAGCCGGCGCTGGGGCTGGACTGGGGCTGGGGACATCATGTTGGCTGGGACCAGCTGCGGTCGGGGCCGGAAACCGGCATCGGGGCCGGGACCGGGGTCGGGGGCTGGAACCTGGAGCTGGGACTGGCGCTGGGACCAGCCGCAGCCGGGGCCGGGGCCGGGACCGCGCGCCGGGGCCGGGGCTGGAACCGCGGGGCCGGAGACGGAGCCGGGGCTGGGAGCCCGAACCAGGACCGGGAGCCTGGGTCAGGGCCGCGGCCCGGCCAGGACCGAGGCCAGAGCCGGAACCGGGGCCGGGGCTGGGGCTGGACTGTATGGGGCTGGGCCTGGACCAGCTGCCTGGCCTACAGACCACTTGAGAAATAAAAGTTCGATTCGTGTTTTTCGAGTGTTTCATGCTGTTTGCGAGTTTCTATCGAAATAGACTCGGCATGGTTTTCGTGTTTATTTTGATAGAAATTTTAACTCTGACCCGCGCTCGGGCCACATGCGAATTCCATGTCTACTCGTGTCTACTTACTAGCGTGTCTATGTATGGGAAAAGTGTTTTTGTATTAACGTGTCTACTCGTGTTTATTTTTGCCAAAAATGCATTCGGTCGTTTCTATTTATTGTCGTGTCTATTTAACACGGCGCGTGTGTGTTTTCTGTGCAGCATGCGTTGTCTCACGACCTTGCAAGTAGAGGAGAGCCGTCAAAAAAAAACGTCAAAAAACATCGCCGAACCCCTTGTGATTGGACAACCCCGACAATGTAGCTCGATGTTGTGTTGTTTTTCCGCAGGGGAGCTGGCAGACGACGGTGTGTTGGAAGCGTTTTTGGGCCTTCTTGGCAAGCGTTGGAAACGTTTTGGGCCGTCTGGGCGCCATGTTGGGCCGTGTTGGGGCCCTCTCGGAAGCCTCTGGCGCCGTCTCGGGGCGATCAGAGGGGCCTCTTGGGCCGTCGAGCATCGAGAAGCGAAAGAGACCAGGCCGCCTTGGGCCGTTTGGAGGCCATGAAGGCGTCTTGGACAAATCTTTCGGCGACGCGGGCCGCTCATGCACCATTTTGGAGGCGTTTTGGGGTATTTTGGGTTCATCTTTGATCCTTATTCTACACAATTGTTTCTCGAAGTCCTGCGCAACCATTATAATTATCCGATGTCAGCCGTTCCCATCCGCACTTTCCCCTCCCCCCAATATCCAACGCGCTCGTTCCAGCTCCCCCCGACCTGTTCGCGCCCGCCACCGCGCCCCCTCAACTCCTCAATGCGTCCCCGCCTTCTCCTAGTTTCACGTGTTCTTTCCAAGTCTTCTGAGTCCTACACCCCGAAGCCCCCTGTCAATTTCTCTGCCCTCGTCGTTCCAACAGTCTCCCTATTTTCCCATTCTTGATCTCTTCTCCGTCCACCTCAAGGCTCGCGCCTCCTCGACACTCCTCCCGATTTCCGCATAAACCCTCCGATATCATTGCAAAATTCTGGTCCGCCTTCGTTTTCCCACCTCTCCGAGGTCCCGCACATTCCTCTCCGTGCCTCCATGTTTGTTCGCGTTTCTGCTACATCCCAGCCATGCGTATGCACTCTGGTGGCACTCGTAGCTCAGCCTGCGGTCCTCGTGGCGAACTTGGTGTCTCTCGTCCTAGCTCCGCTTGCGGCCCTCGTAGCCGAGCCGGTGGCTCTCGAAGCTCTGCTCGTGGCCCCGGCAGTTCGGCTCGTCGCCCTGCCGGCTCCGCGGAAGGCCCTCGTGCATAGCTCTGCCCGCTGCCCGCGCAGCTCGGGCTGCGGCCCTCGTCGCTCGGCCGGGTGGCCCTCGCAGCTCGGCGGGTCCTCATCCTCCTTCCCGTCCTCCTTCTCCTCCTCCTCCTCCTCGTCCTCCTCTCCCTCCTCCTCCTCCTCCTCCTCCTCCTCCTCCTCCTCCCTCCTCCCTCCTCCTCCCTCCCTCCTCTTCCCTCCTCCTCTGGCAGCTCGGGCTCGGTCCTCCTCGTCGCCCCGCCCGTGGCCCTCCACAGCTCCGCGCGAACGGTCCCGGTGGCCCGGCCCTCGCAGCTCTGCCGGGGGCTCTCTCGCATAGCCCAGCGGGGGTGGACGGGGGCCCTCGTTGGCCAGTCCCCCCTCCTCCCTCCTCCCTCCTCCCTCCTCCCTCCTCCCTCCTTCCTCCTCCCTCCTCCCTCCTCCCTCCTCCCTCCTCCCTCCTGCCTCCTCCCTCCTCCCTCCTCCCTCCCAGGCGGGATCGCGTCTGAAACAAGTCACGACGGGAGGTCTTTGGCCGTTCTCGTCCTCTGGGGGGCCCTCGCCAGGCCTCGGGGCCGTTTGAAAACGATTCAGGACGAGAGGTTGGTCCCGGAGAAAGGTCCGGGACTTCCGGGGACCGCGTGTTGAACAAACCAGGACCTCGCATGTCTTGGGTAGGTGCGGCTTGCGATGGCACGGCGCCTGGCGAGGCAACCCTGGCGCGCCAGCGCGGCCGTCGCGAAGGCGTCGGTTTTTTCCTTCTTCCAGGCCGTGCTCCTCGCTGTCCCCCTCCTCGTCTGCCTCCTTGGTCTCTTCCTCGTCTGCCTCCTTCGCCTCCCCGCGGTCCAAATCGGAGTCGTCGGCTGCTAGGTCGTACTGCTCCACCCCTCAGCTGCCGCGAAGAGAGGAGGACCTGAGGGAGATGGGGCCAGCGAGGGCCAGTCCCGCTCTTCCTCGCCCGGCTGCTCTCGAAGCTCTGCTTCTTGCTGCCGTAGCTCTGCTGGTGGTCCTTGACGCCCTGGTGGCGGCCCTCTTAGCACGGCTTGTGGTTCGCGAAACGCTGTTGACGGCCTTCGTAGCTCAGAGGGACGTTCTTGGAGCTCTGCTTTCTCGTCCTCTTAGCTCCGCTGGTGGCCCTCGTTGCGTAGCAGGTTGATCTGGTAGTTCCGGTTTGCGGGAATCGTAGCTCTGCTTGTGGACCCTGTAGTGCAGTGCCTGGAGGCAAGGTGAGGAACCCGTATGTGGCGTATTTGTCGTAGCAGTTGTATTCGCCGTGCCCTCGCGAGGGCGGCCGTGGTAAAGATAATGATGTCGGGTCGAGGTTGTGTCCCATGTCCGACGTTGTACCCCGTCTGTTTTTGGTCCGTGTTTGTTCGTGCCCGCGTTCCTATATGCGTGTATGGTCTCGGCATCTTTGCCGGTAGATCTCCACCACGGTGGGTAGGTCTCGTAGCCCTTAGCTTTATGTTGTATCATATCCGCCTTGTAAGAGCGCGTTTCTTTATCATCGGCGATGACGGGCGTCATGGGGCGGGAGGGGGCGGGGGAGGGGTATGACGTAACGACCCCCCCCCACCCTGCGGCTCAGGCACCACAGCCGCGCTCGCGCGCTCGACGACGATGAGCGACCAGCGACGACGACGACGCGAGCAGCATGTAGGTGGCGATCTGCCCCACAGCCCCTGTGTACACCACAGTGCTCTCGTGCACCACAGCGCTTATGTACACCACAACGCCTGCGTACACCGTAACAGCCGTGTGCAACGCAGCGCCTGTGTACACCACAGCACTTGCGTGCACCACAGCGCTGGTGTACACTACAGCGAATGTGTACACCGCAGCAGCCATGTGCAACACAGCGCCTGTCTACACCACAATGCGTAATTGCACCGCAGCGCCTGTGCACACCACAGCGCTTGTCTACACAACAGCATCCACGTGCAACCCAGCGTTGGTGTATACTAGAGTGCCTGCGTGCACAGGACAGGTAGAAGGAGCATGACGGTGAGGATCTGCTGCGGACAGCTAAACGCCACGCTAGGGAAGTGCTGAGAATAGAATGCGACGTTTTTCCTTCCTCCCTCCACCTCCGCCTCCTCCTCCTCCTCGTCCTCCTCCTCCTCCTCTTCCTCCTCCCCTCCTCCTCCTCCCTCACCCTTCTCCCCTGTCGTGCGGGTCGGCACTACAGCGCACGTGCGCGTCTCAGCGTGCACCGCAGAATGGTCTATTCACTGGCGCCGTGCTGAGTGCACGCAGGCATTGTGGTGTACACTGGTGCTGTGTTGCACACGGCTGGTGTCGAGAACGCAGGCGCTGTGGTGTACACAAGCGCTGTGGTGCCAGCAGGCACTGTGGCACACACTGGCGCTGTGATGCACGCGGCTGCTGTGGTGTCATAGGCGGTGTGGTGTACAGAGGCGCTGTGGTGCACGCAAGCACTATGGTGTACACAGGCGTTGCGGTGCAGATCGCCACCGACATGCTGCTGTTACCCGTCCTCGGTGATCCCTAGGCATTCCCAGACGTTGCTGGCGCGAAACGTGACGTCATCGGTTCCCTCCACCCTCTCCAGATGATTGCTTTCATCGGCCCAGAATCAAACCACAGGCTCCAGCTGCGTCCGCGCGCAGGACGACGACGTTGAGCGACGAGCGACGAGCGACAACGACGACGACGACGTGGTCTCGACGACGACGACGATGACGACGACTGCGGACCAGACTCCTATTCGGATCCCTATGCGGACACCTATGCGGAGCACGATGCGCACGGCGGCAGTGCCCGGAACGCAGTGGGGGGGGCGTTACGTCATATGGGGGGGGGCCAGCGGCCATGACGCCCGTCATGCCCAAAACAATGAAGAAACGGGCTCTAATTCAACAGCCGGTGGTTGGTGCTGAAATCGGGGTTACTCACCCCTTTCGGATGTTCACCCGCTGGTGGGTACTGTTGGAGTCGCGGTTGATCACCTTCTCGTGGCACGCGCGCCGCCGATCGCGACTGGCGCGCTGAGGCCGGCCCCCCCACGGGCGCGCACGCGGCCAGGCGCGGCGCCCAGGGGCGAATGCGGGGGACAGAGTTCCCGCAAACGGCCCTCTATCTCCTCCTCTTTCTCGTCGTCCTCTCCTTCTCCTCCTCCTCCTCCTCCTCCTCCTCCTCTTCCCCCTCCCCCCCCTTTTCCTCCTCCTCCTCCTCCTTCTCCTCCTTCTCCCCCTCTTCCCTTCACTGTGCGCACTGCCCGTTTGCCGCTGCGCCAGATCCGATCCGATCCGATCCGATCCGACATCCTGCTCCTCGTCGTCGTCCTCGTTTTTTCTTCGCCGTCCTCGTCACCCCCGAGCAGTATTCAGCAGCGGGATCCAAAGAAGTCGCCCTCGTCACCCTCTCTTGCCGCTTGCCTCCCACCCCTCCTGCCTGGCAAGCCCGGCGGGCCGCCACCAGTACGGGGATGGCAACTCCGCGGACATGTCGCCGTTCTTGGGCTCGATCATGGATCACTCGCCGGCCATGCTGGAGACGGTCCGCCCCGACGGCGGCGGCGGCGACGGAGAGGGTCGGCCCAACGCGCGTGTATCTTGAGGTGTCATCTGTATGCGGGAAGCTCCAAAGGTGTTTGGAGGTTCCTCGAGGCTGGGGTACACGGAGGGTTGGGGGCGGGGTAGGAAGGGCGAATGGGAGGATGTCGGGCATGTCCGTCTAGAGGAGGAATATTCAAAAATAGTCCAGCAATGCTCTGGGGACGGTTGTTAGATTATTTGTGTGATCTACGTTGGGGCTTTTTGTTGTACTCAAACACGTGCAGCGATGGGAGGTGGGAGTCCGTTGCGACCGAGGCGCCGGACTACGGCGCGCCCGAGTCGCGCGCGAGGTGCCAGGTGGCGCCGACGGGCCCGATTCACGGCGATGCGCCCTGCTTCGACTTGCCGCCCTCGTGCCCGCTGACAGCACGGAGTCTCCAGGCCGTGGGAGATGAACTTCGCGTGCATGTTTGTCCTTCAGCATCAGGCTTTCGTTTGCCAAGTTATGTGACGAAGACTTCGCTGGATATGATGAGTGACGTCGATGAGTTTGGTGATGCCAGTGAACTGCCCGCGCCACCATCCAGGCGGCGGAAATGCAACCTGCTCCCGCTCCCGTCTGGCGAGGTGGGCGAAGTCCAGGCGTGGCGCCGTTGAGGCGCAGGCGACATGGGGCTGGCGCAGGCGGTGCCAGAGGTGAACTATTGGCTTGCACTTGTCATCTCTGGGCTCAACTATCACTGTGGCCCCTGCGGGAAGCCCCCCCCACCTGGCAAGCCAGCGTGGGCCTTCGACGTCAACGCAGCGGCTGGCAACGCAGCTGCTGGCACATGAGGTCCACGTTTTCTTGGGCCAGCGCGGCGGCGACCTCCCCGAGCCGGACTGGGACGCGGAGGTGAAGGCGTCGGTTGTGAGCTACGCGGGGCAGTGGGTCTACCCCTACCCCTCTGAGCCGCTGGACCTCGAGAGGCTGCTGGCGGCGCCCCCCCCCCCCCCGCGCTGGGGCGTGATCGGCTGCGTCACCGGTGGGTGTGCTCAGCGCGTGCGAAGGCCGGGTGCGGCGCGCGCTCCTGGACCGGGCCCCGCGAGCGTGCTCAAGGCCGAGGAAGAGGTTGAGACGTTGCCCGCCACTCCTCGCGCGTGGGCGTCGGCCGCAGAGCGGGAGCGGATCGCCCCCGCGCTGGTCGAGAGGCAGATCCTCGAGCCCATGGAGCTTGAGGATGTGGCCGCGTTCAAAGGCAAGAAACTACTCGGGGGGCTCTTCGGGGCCCGCAAGGGCGGCTTCGAGCGCGGGGAGGGCCCGCAACGACTGGTCCTGAATATGATCCCCTCGAATGCTGCCCAGCGCGCGATTCAGGGCGACATGCCACCCCTCCCTTCTTCAGAGAAATGGCGCAGCATAGCGCTGAGGTCAGGCGAAATCTTGTCTATGGGGTCGGAGGACCTCAAGTGCTGTTTCTACGTGTGCAGATTGCCAGAGACCAGGAGGCCACACTTCGCTCCGCCCCTTCCTGTGCGTCGGACGGCCAGCGGGCTCTCAGGAGAAGGAGTGGTTCATTTGACCTCGGCGGTGGTGCCGATGGTGGATCTCGGCGACTGGGGTGCTCTAACATGCACATCGTTATGTTCTTCGGCATTGGCGTGCTGGGCTGCCGCGGCTCCCGCCCGATCAAGAGGTGCGACGTGACTTTCCCGTGCCTGGGCGAGGAGGTGAGCCTCGGCCACGTGGGCCCTCGTTCTCCTCTCGGTGCCAGCAGGTGACATCGGCGGCCGCATCGAGCTCGGGCAGCAGCGCCGCGCCAGCAGGACGTCGTTGGCGCGGCCAGGTGGGCCCGCGGACGGCGCCCAAGCCCGGGGCAGGAGGTGCGGCGCGGCCAGATGGGCCCCCTGCCTCCTCGCCGCGCCAGTCGTCAGCCTCGGCCGCGGCATCGACCTTGGGCAGCAGCGCGATGCCAGCAGGACGTCCTCGGCGTGGCCAGGTTGGCTCGCCGAATATGGCTGGCTGGTGTGACGTGTACATCGGGCGGGGCAATAGGCAGCTTGGTTTTGCCCCATCCTTTCGGGGAAATCCTTTTCGCGTCAATGCGGATGGAGACCGAGAGAACGTGATCCAGAAGCCCGGAGAGTGGGCCCGCAGTCGTCCAGAAATGGTGGCCAAGATCCCTGAGTTGACGGGGTGCAGGCTGCTGTGCCATTGTGGCGATCATGAGGCATGCCACGCTGGCGCCATTCAAGAGCTCTTGGACGAGGTGTGCTGCCCCGTGGGGGTCGACGAGGCCCCCCCCTCCGAGACTGACGGTCCGCGCTGGCTGGCGTGGCAGGCTTACATCGACAACCTGGACATGCTGGAGGTCGGGCCGGTGGTGGAGATGGAGATGCTGAGGCTCGCAGGTCGCCCTGAGGCCATGGAGGCGGACCTGGCGAGGTGCGACGCGCTCGGCGTTCCAGTGGGCGATGGCAAGTCGGTGGTCAGGCAACCTGAGGCGCCTGCGCTGGGGGACTTCGCCGACGGCGCGCGCGGGGCGATTGCCCCCCCTGGCGAGCTCTGCAGGAAGTTGGCCTCGCTGACGCGGCGCGCCCTCAGGAGGTCGGTGGTCGCGCAGAACTGGCTGCAGGTTCTCGGCGGACGCTGGGTTCGCCCGATGCTGTACCGCCGCGAGACGATGACGGGCCTCGGTGCCTTCTGGAAGTTCATGGCCCGCATGCAAGGCGAGCGCCCTCTCCCATCTTCAGCCCGATGGGGAGCTCTTGAGCGCGCTGTGCCTGATGCTGATGATGCTCTGTTACTTTCGCGCCCCCATCCGTGGCCTGGCGACGGCGTCGGATGCGAGCCTATGGCGAGGGGCAGTGCGCAGGTCGCGTGGCTTTCTGCCGCGTAGCATCGCAGCAGCTCGAGCCTCTCAGTTGGGGCGGACAGGTGGCCTCGACGACGAGGGTATACTTCTCTCTATTTGATGGCATAGGAGGCGGCCGCAGGGCGCTGGATATGCTCGGCCTCTCCGCGGGCGGGTTCGCGACGGGCGAGATCGACGAGGGGGCAGCTCGAGTAGGCCGATGCTCGTGGCCCCCCTGCGCGGACCTCTCGCGCGCGAGGGCTGGGCGCCGCGGTCTTGCGGGCAATCGGTCTCGGCTCTACGAGGTCCAGCGGTTCGCGCGGCTCCTGGTCGAGGTGGTGCGGGGGCAGTGCCAGGTCCAGGCCCATCGAAAACGCGGCGTCAATCGACGACGAGCACCTCTTCGCTTTGTCGGTCGAGCTCGGGCCGCAGCCAGCGTTGCTGGACGCGGCGGCGCTCTCTCACTGTCATCGTGGCCGCGTGCGCTGGGTCGATCAGGACATGACGGTCGCCCGGCAAAGGGCGTCGGTGACACATGGGCGAGGTGGAGTTCGGAACTTCATGGGGGGGCAGGGCCGCAGCCGCGGTGGCTTCGCCCTGGGGCGAAGTGGCGAGCTGGGCAGTGCAGTTCGGGAAGGTTGCCCACCCTCCTCAGGTGCGTGCCGCGGCGTGCCCCTGGCTCGGCCCCGACGGGCATCGCGTCTTGCGATGCGCCGTTGCTCGGGAGATGGCGAGCAGACGACCGCAGCTACCCGCCGTGCCAGTGCGAAACTATGAGTTGTCTCGTAGAGCGTGACGGTCGCATGCGAGTGCCTGACTCTCTCGAGAGGGAGCTGCTGCCGGTTTTCCCGCCTCGCCACGCGGTGGCCGCGCGGGCCAGGAAGGGCCCGAAGGGGCTTCGGCAGTGCCGATGCGCGTTGCTCGGCAACTCCTTCCAGCGCGGCGCGCCTGCATGGCTGCTGGCGCACTTGGCTGTGTTCGCGGGCTACTTGCAGGAGGTGCCGACGATTGAGGCCCTGAGGTTCATGGGAGGGGCCTGCGTCATGGCGGAGGCGGACGTGCTGATGGAGACTGGAGGCCAAAGTGAGTGCGAGCCAAAGGCACAGCTTGGCGACCCGTCTTCTATAGACGAGAGTGGAGGCATCTTCGTCAGGCAGCGCGGCCTGTGGATGCAAGACGCTGTGCTGGACCCGTCCGTGATCGTGGTGGAGGAGGTGGCGCGCAGGGCTGAAGCGCGCGGCAGTGATGTGCGTCTCGACGCACTTGAGCGCATGTCCCCCCTGACGTGGCCCAGGCGCCCAGTGTCGGCGGCCCGCTGGACTTGGCGCGCAGTGGCGTCATGGCGGTGGAGTCGGCTCCCTCACATCGCTGACCTTGAGGTGCGCAGCTGTCTTGGAGCATTGCAATGGCGTCGCCGGCAAAGACAGCATCTCCGCACCCGGTTCGTTCACCTCATGGATAGTCAAGTTGGTATTGGCGTTGTGACAAAAGGGAGTTCTCCGTCCCACTTGCTGACTGTTGTTGCGAAGAGAATATGCGTGCTTGTGCTGGCAAGCCTGTGTAGGCCCATCTATGGGCACTCAGAGACTGACAGAAATCCCGCGGGCGATCCGCCCCGCAGGCTTCCCGACGGCAAGGATGATGGCGCGTCGTCGCCCTCGCAGATTCGCGGCCGTGGCCAGCCAGCAAGATCGCAGAAGCGCCCAATCTCGGGCCGGGCTGCTTTCACGCACTCTCATTCAGCCCGCCACTCTCAAACGATATCGAGCTGCCGTGGCCAGTTTCGCACAGTGGCTCGCAAGCCGCGGAGGGCAGGCCAGCGCCAACATTGACTAGATTGATTGTCAAGTCGCAGAATGGATCGAGTTCTGTGGGCCGACGGCAGGGGGGCAAACGAGGCCGTGGACGCCCTGTCTGGTCTCCCATTCCTGCTGCGTCGGCGCCGAATCTTGCCGGCCTCGTCGAAACTCTTTGGAGCATGGATGCGGATCGAGCTTCCTCATCGCGCGCCGCCTCTGGCGCTCAACCTTGTGATGGCAATGCTCTGCTGCTTGCACTCGGCTTCAGCGGATTTCTGCGCAAAACAAAGCTCGTGGCGTTGTGCCGCTGGCAGGTGCAGGTGTCTTTAGAGCGCTCGACTGTCGTGATTGTGTTGCCCATCTCCAAGAGTGGGCTGAGGCATCGCGTTGACGAGTCCGCGGTCATCAATGACGCTGGCGTCGCCCGCTTTGTCGATCACACCTCGCCCAGCACCTGCATCCCAGATGTGTGTGTTTTTTTTGAGCGGTGTTGTGAACTTCATAGTTGTGTTCGGCTGTTTGTTGGGCGGGCCCGAGGTCCGCCACATCGGTTTTCGCCCATATTTTTTCCGCGAGGAGGGGCTACGCATTCTTATCGCGTCTCTCAGAATATGCCAGCAACGCTTCAGACTGGCCGTTGGAGAGACACGCAGACGGCCAGAATATACATTCCCGAAGGTGTGCGAGTGTTGCTGCAACTTGTTTTTGATGTGAACCCGCAGCAGCGGTTTGCAGTGCTGGCCCAGACCTTGTGGGCAGACATTAATTTAGCAGCAGGGCCACCGAATATCCCTTGTATTAACAAGTTCACATGATTACACTTCGTGTGGCCCTGCAGTGTTCTGGGGTAGAGACCCCTTCCGCAATGTTCGTTGAAGCAAATAAGGGGCGGGGGGGGGGCAGAAAAGGGCGCATGGAAAGAGCATGGACCCCGCCCTTGGGGCGGGGAGCGTTTTTGCTGCCCCAGGGCGCGGACCCTGAGGCTTTGTAGGCGCGGGATGAGGCCCCGAAGCGGCAGAGCCGTCCTCTCCCTGGGCGTGGCCATGCTTCCTCGGGGGTCGAGGCGTGGCATGGCCCTCGTGGCCAGAGGGGGTTTGGCTGGGCGTTGCCCTGGTGTGTTCGACCTCCGGCGAGGCGTAGCTGCAGCGCGCCCCCTAGGTGCTCCGTGCCCCCGCGCTCTCGGCGTGGCGCTGCTGTGCTTGCTGTTGGGCCCTCCGTGGCCCTTGGGGGTGACGGCCTCCGGCGAGGCGCAACTGCAGCTCGGCCGAGCGGCCTGACCTCTGTGTGGCGGCGCCCGCCTCTGGAGTCCCGTTGCGACTCTTCACAAGACCCTAGCGTGGGAAAGAACATGACGAGCGAGCAGGTGTTAGGGGTCACGTGAAGCTATGTATTACATCTGTCCTTCAAAATCCGCCTGTAGGGGTACATGCCCGACCTAATTCTACCTACTTCTTCCGACCGATGGGTACCTATCTCCCGAAGGTGGCAGACCTCTGCGCGGTTGAGCTTCTAGACCCGCTGCCTTTGCCTGAGACCAATGTGTGGGAGTTCGTCCGGCCAAGTGAGGGAGCTCGTCCGTGCCAAGTGAGATGTGTTTCGCCACAGGCTGACAGACTGCGATCGGTGACTTGTGTTCCAACGTGGAGCCGTCAGCCCTGGAAGCAATATATGATTGACACGAAGTTGAGCCTTACCTGAAAATACATCGAGGCACTGGATCAATGAGGCAATATCGTCCCATCAGGTGTTTCAGGACGTCGGTGCGAAGCGGCGCGTCCAGGGATTGCCGCCAACGACGCAAAGAGTGCGCGAGAACAATATTCTCACATGACTGAGTTGACACTCGGGGTCGCCATGTCTGGAAGACTTGGAAAAGCGAGCGAGCAACGCTCGACAGCATTGTGGGCGGAATGATGGTATCTCCTGGCCATGTATTGCGGACGTGGAGTTTTAATGTCGGAGTACATATGATAGCATGTTACACAGCGTTGTTTCCTTTTCTCCACTGCCTGACTGCTGCTGTTCACGGCGCCTGCTGTTTATCCGTTGGCAGTTCAGGACAAGTAAGGAGGGACATGGATGGAGGAGGAAGAGGAAGAGGAAGGATGGGGATGGAGAGAGGGAGGGAGGGAGGGAGGAGGAGGAGGAGGAGGAGGAAGAAGATAAGGAGGCAGGGGAGGAGTATGATATCGAGACAGACGGAGAGGTTGAGGAGGATGAGGAGGATGAGAACCCGTAATCGAAGAGGATGAAGCGGGATAGGGGGGGATGACTAGGCGGATGAGGGGGCAGGAGTGTGTTGGTGCCGAGGGGCCAGGGAAGGCGGAGGACACGGAACTGGACTTTTTGCTGTTGGAGATCAGACAGCGTTGCTTTGTTTTGCTTTGTCACCGACATATCAGGCGAGAGGGGAGAGGGGCGGGATGGGGAGGAGAACGAGGAGAACCGGGCAAGAGCAGGATGAGTAGGAGCATGCCGGGCGGCATGCGCTACAGCGCCGCCGCCTTTCCGCAGATCGGCGAGTCGTCTCCAGCGGCCCTCGGCATGGACGACGAGGACTGCCCCCCTTGGCCTCTTGGACCGCCTCTTGCTCCGCCCCCTCGTCGTCCTCGTCCTTCTCCTTCTCATCTCCTCCTCCTCCTCCTCCTTCTCCTCCTCCTCCACCCCACGCATTCCTCCTTGTGCTCCTCGCCCTCCTCCTCCCCCTTCCTCCTCGTCCCTCCTCGTCCTTCCGCTCGCTGCCATTTTGCTGGGATGCAACTCCTGGAAGGTTCAATTCTGCATCGGCGCTGGTACTTTCGCGGTCGATTGTCGGCTAATCTGGGCTAATCCGACTGTGTTCTGTTCACTCCCGTTTAATTTCGTTCAATCCAGCGTAATCTCGGCTGAATTCCCGGCTTAATGTTGCCCGAGCCGGTGAAGTGTTTTTTTATGTAATCGGGCCTGATCGCCCTGAACCGTTCCAACGAAGACCTCGCAAGAGTTGTCTCCCAACATTGTGTCCTTCTCCCTCCTCCTGTCTCTCCCCCTCTGCCTTCTCATCGGGGGCGGCCAAGAAGGGGGTGATGACTAGGGGGGGGGGCATCATGGCGGGGGCCACGATATCTGCCCAGGTTTCATGTCGCCTTTTCTTATCTCAATACGTCCCTGGCCCGCGCACGTGCCGCTGGCCATGATCAGCGCTCCCCCCTGTCGGGCGCCCCCCTCTTGGCCTTGGCATCGCCCGGACGTGTGCGTTTGTCCTTCGGCGAGGACCATCGAGGAGCATCCTTGATCATTTGGCGCAAAAGCCACGCACGAAACCGAAAAAAACACAGGGAATGGACGTCCGAGCGATGGCGAGGGGTGTGTGTGGGAGGACGAGGACGGACGTGTATAGGGGAACGAGAAATGCCATAAGCATCGAAACTCGGAGGTCCGCGCAGACTTCTCGCATCCGCGCTGGACCCCCATCCCGTGCGCGCGGAGCGCGCCAGGGGCGGCGCCGAAGGCGCCGCCAGGAGGCCCCAGCGCGGATCCGAGAAATCCGCCCGGACCTCCGAGTTTTTCATGGTTAGGTCATCTTCCGTTCCCCTAGAGACGTATCGGAGGCCCAGAGGTTGCATCAGCACCAACACCAGCGGTGTGCCTCCACCGAGGAAATTTTATATCCCGATCTCTCGGTGATGGTGGGAAGACTCGGGCTTCCCAGGTGGACGAAAAATTTCAACCAACACCGAAATCTAGGAACATCCTCCCCCGCTGGGCGCACGCCCCTGTTTTGGAGTTGGTGCCCATACCAAGCCTCCAAAAGGAGGACGAGGGATGCCTCTTGGTGGCTTCTTTGGGCTCTCGGGGTATCCTGGACGCCGCCTGGGGGATTCTCGGGGGCCTCTTCGGGGCGTCTTGGGGACATTCTGAGGGCCTCGTCGGGTCGTTTTGGGGCCGTCTTGAGCTGCTTCTGGCCGTCTGGCGTTTCGGAGGGCCCCTCGAAGCGCAATGGGGCCATCTAGGAGGTCTCTTTTGGCTGTGCTGGGGTTTTCATGGGGCCAACTTGGGCCCCCCTGGGCCGTCCCTGGGGTCTTCTTGGCCCGTTGGGCTGTCCTGCGTTGTGAGACGCCCGGATCGGCGAGAACGCCACGAACAGTCGAAACCCAGGAGTGTGAGTGCTTGTCTGGAGGGCTCCGCCTTCTGCCGCCAGCCCTCCCTTTGACATGAGGGGTGAACCTTGGGCCCGGGAACGCCGGGAACGCTAGGAACGCCGCAGGAATGCCGGGAATGCTGGGAATCCTGCCGGGAACGCTGCATGGGGCCTCCAGCCGGGAAAATCAGCCGGGCAGGCCCGGAGGACCGGGAGGTCCGGGGGGGCCGGGAGGCCGGGAGGGTCGGGAGGGCCAGGAGGGCCGGGAATGCCAGGAAGGCCAGGCCCCGACCTCCCAACATACCCCCAAAACAAGCTCTCACATATAAAAAGACGCCGCTCTATAATTTAAGAAACGACGTCGTCAATTCTGTGAAATTGACGCCGCATATGCGGCATCCAACATTAGGCCAAAAAGGCAACGGGGGAGAAAACAAGGAAGAAGAAGAGAGGAGGAAAAGGAGGAGGAGGAGGAGGAGGAGGAGGAGGAGGAGGGGGAGGAGTATGATGAGGTGGAGGAGACGGCGGACGAGCGGAAAGAAGATGAGGTCAAGGCCAGAGAAGCGTGCTCGATAGTTGGCTCCAAGATTGCCCACGACTGCTCTCGAGGGCCGCTGGAGGGGCCAGATAGGGGCCCACAAGAGCCGAGATGTGAACTTGGGGTGGTTGTCGTTGGCTGTTTACTTCCCGCCCTAAGGTTACCCCGAGACCGCCATCAGGCCCCCAAGAAACCAACCAACAGGCCCCAAGAGGCCCCAGAGAGGCCCGCAGGATGCCTTTGGGTGTTGTATGGGTGTCCCCTCTCGGGTTTCATAGTTATCCCTTCTCTTGGGTCAATCGGTGCCCCTCCCACCTCTTGGGTATCATGCCTGTCCCCCGTCTTGGGTTTCATGCCTGTCCCCCCTCTAGGGTTTCATGTCTGTCCCCCTCTTGGGTTTATGGGTGCCCACCCCCCGATTGGGCTTCATCCCCCCCTCCCCTCTACGGGTTTAGGGGAGTCCCCGCTCATGGGTGTCATGGGTGTCCCCCCTCTCTCTGGGCCTTTATGGATCCCCCCCTCGTGGGTTCCATGCATGCCCCCGCCCGTTCTGTGGTTTTATGTGTCCCTGGTCGGGGATGTAAGTGCCAGGCGCGTTGTTTGAACGCATACTTGTAGATATATACACATATGTATGTATGTAGGCAGCCATCGTGGTAAATCCTGTGGTGCATCCATTAAGGCATGAACAATTCCTTAGCCAGTTTTGGCTCAAGATTTTGCCTAGCCACACATGTGCACTCGCAGGCCCGCAGTAACCTTGGACGAACATGCGTGCAAAGCAGCGCTAACGTTGCTGCCAGTGACAGCTTGGACGAAGGAGATGAAATTCATGTCGTACCCTCTGAAGTTCAAGGTCGCCCCAGACTGGATGAGAGGCAAGAAGATGATACCGTGCGTGGCTGAGATCTTGACGAGGACGGGGGGCTACAACGTTACACAATTGTCCCTTCGAGCTGGTATGAAAGCGTTCTTCAATGATGGCGACGTGGATGTGGACCCGCACGAGCAGGAGAAAGCAGCTTACTCGATCAGGGCACTGATTTCGCAGATGGCAAACCATAAGCGTAAGAAAAGAGAAGTCCCTCGGGTACACAGGCATCAGTGGTCGGTTGTCTTCTACAAGGTCAACGCACAAGTTGTCGACGACGTCATTGCGCCACCTGACGACAAGGACGATGACGACGTCGAGGTAGTCAACGAGGATGAAAAGAAAGACGTCTGGTCGGTCTCAGACTGCAGCGACCACGAGGCTGAGAAAACAAACTTGTTCGACTCATCCGACCCTGTCCTGAGATCCCTTCTCAACCACTGCGAGGACATCCCCCTGCCAGCCACAGACGTCCGCAAGCGACGGCGCCTTTCCTCGAAGACTCCATCATCAGACTGGGCAAAGCCATCCTACTATGCTCGTGCTGTTCAACTCTCTGCTGGTGATGCGGTTCCTGCAGTGTCCCCCGCGACGTTCGCAGTCCTGCAGAAATCGTTGAAGGCGGAGGAGGCCGCGAAGGTCACTGGGAGCAAGAACGGCGGCAAGGCGAAAAAGACCATCACGAAGGCTACGAAGGCTACGAGGACCATCAAGAAGGCTACGAAGGGTGTCGGGGACGAGGGCGCCGCGGTGGCGATCTCGTGGCAGCAGTTCTTGAAGAGAGAGCACTCCAAGGCGTACCACAAGGCGGTCGTTGAGGCTCAGAGCCAGGGCAAATCCAAGGATGAGGCAAAATCGTGTGGCTAAGCCGCAGGGGGGACGAGACTTTCAGAGTTGCGTGAGCAACGCAGCAAAGGCGAACACAGCGAGTATCTATGAGTGCATTGCCATTTTCTTCAGTCTCGAGCGCCCTGATGGGGAGTCAGTTGCGCACCGTTTGCACGAGTTGGTGTTCACTCTCAACATCACTCATCCTCGATGCCGTTGCCGTCAACGTATCATTCATATTCCTGCTTGTCCTTCCATCGTCTTCTGCACTTGGCTGCCATCCCCTTTTATCCTCCTCCTCCTCCTCCTCACGCTCCTCCTCCTCCTCCTCCTCCTCCTCTTCCACCTCCTTCCCCTCCTCCTCCTCCTCCTCCTGCTCCTCCTCCTCGTCCTCCTCATGGGTGGCCCGAGACGTTTAAGAAACCAGGCGGTGATGATGATGATGATGATGATGATGATGATGATGATGATGATGCTGATGCTGATGCTGATGCTGATGATGACGATGACGACGATGATGATGATGATGCTGATGATGCTGATGATGATGATGGCGATGTGGAGTAGGAGGAGGAGGAGGAGGGAGGAGGAGGAGGAGGAGGAGGAGCCTCGAGGAGGAGGAGGAGGAGGAGGAGGAGGAGGAGGAGGAGGAGGAGGAGGAGGAGGAGGAGGAGGAGGAGGAGGAGGAGGGGGAGGAGGAGGAGGAGGAGGAGGAGGAGGGAGGAGGAGGAGGAGGAGGAGGAGGAGAGGGAGGAGCAGGAGGAGAAGCAGGAGGAGGAGGAGAGGGAGGAGGAGGAGGGGGAGGAGGAGGAGGAGGAGGAGGAGGGGAAGGAGGGGGAGGAGGAGTGGGAGGAGGAGCAGGAGGAGGAGGAGGAGCAGGAGGAGGAATAGGACGAGGAGGCGAACGAGGAGGATGAGGACTGCGAAGATGATGATGACGAGGAGAAGGAGCATGAGGACGGAGAGGAGGACTGGGAGGTGCAGATGAGTAGGATGGGAAAGGGTAGGAGGAAGAGGGGGGGATGATGATGATGATGATGATGATGATGATGCTGATGATGATGGTGATGATAATGATGATGATGATGATGAGGATGATGATGAGGATGAGGATGAGGATGAGGATGAGGATGATGATGATGATGATGATGATGATGATGATGATGATGATGATGATGATGATGATGAAAATGATGATG